CAGGCACTCACAAATGTCTGGAGGCTCGGTGTATGTGGGCAGGATTGTCATTTGTGGGCTTTACTATAAGGTGACACTGGTTTTTTCCATGGGGAAACCACAAATGTTAGTACCTGTAGGTTTTTCCTTTGTGGCTGCTACATTCCCTTATGAGGACACTTAGGCAACCAGACTGGACAGAGAGTTCAGGAAGCAAATTTGGTTAAGAGGGATTAACATTCTTTTTTTTTAAGATTTTATTTATTTGAGAGAGAGAGAGAGAGAGAGAGAGACACCGAGCGCGTGTGCGTGTGAGCAACAAGTGAGGGGAGGGGGAGGGGGAGAGGGAAAGGGACAAGCGGATTCCCCGACGCGGGGCTACGAGGGGCTACGAGGGGCTACGTGGGGCTGAGGGGCTACGTGGGGCTACGAGGGGCTACGTGGGGCTACGAGGGGCTACGTGGGGCTACGAGGGGCTACGTGGGGCTACGTGGGGCTACGAGGGGCTACGAGGGGCTACGTGGGGCTGAGGGGCTACGTGGGGCTACGTGGGGCTACGAGGGGCTACGTGGGGCTACGAGGGGCTACGTGGGGCTGAGGGGCTACGTGGGGCTGAGGGGCTACGTGGGGCTACGAGGGGCTACGTGGGGCTGAGGGGCTACGTGGGGCTACGAGGGGCTACGTGGGGCTACGAGGGGCTACGTGGGACTGAGGGGCTACGTGGGGCTACGAGGGGCTACGTGGGGCTACGAGGGGCTACGTGGGGCTGAGGGGCTACGTGGGGCTACGAGGGGCTACGTGGGGCTGAGGGGCTACGTGGGGCTACGTGGGGCTACGTGGGGCTACGTGGGGCTACGAGGGGCTACGAGGGGCTACGTGGGGCTGAGGGGCTACGTGGGGCTACGTGGGGCTGAGGGGCTACGTGGGGCTACGAGGGGCTACGTGGGGCTGAGGGGCTACGTGGGGCTACGAGGGTCTACGTGGGGCTACGAGGGGCTACGTGGGGCTACGAGGGGCTACGTGGGGCTGAGGGGCTACGTGGGGCTACGTGGGGCTACGTGGGGCTACGAGGGGCTACGTGGGGCTACGAGGGGCTACGTGGGGCTGAGGGGCTACGTGGGGCTACGTGGGGCTACGAGGGGCTACGAGGGGCTACGTGGGGCTGAGGGGCTACGTGGGGCTACGTGGGGCTACGAGGGGCTACGTGGGGCTACGAGGGGCTACGTGGGGCTGAGGGGCTACGTGGGGCTGAGGGGCTACGTGGGGCTACGAGGGGCTACGTGGGGCTGAGGGGCTACGTGGGGCTACGAGGGGCTACGTGGGGCTACGAGGGGCTACGTGGGACTGAGGGGCTACGTGGGGCTACGAGGGGCTACGTGGGGCTACGTGGGGCTGAGGGGCTACGTGGGGCTACGAGGGGCTACGTGGGGCTGAGGGGCTACGAGGGGCTACGAGGGGCTACGTGGGGCTGAGGGGCTACGTGGGGCTACGTGGGGCTGAGGGGCTACGTGGGGCTACGAGGGGCTACGTGGGGCTGAGGGGCTACGTGGGGCTACGAGGGTCTACGTGGGGCTACGAGGGTCTACGTGGGGCTACGAGGGGCTACGTGGGGCTGAGGGGCTACGTGGGGCTACGTGGGGCTACGAGGGGCTACGTGGGGCTACGTGGGGCTGAGGGGCTACGTGGGGCTACGTGGGGCTGAGGGGCTACGTGGGGCTACGTGGGGCTGAGGGGCTACGTGGAGCTACGAGGGGCTACGTGGGGCTGAGGGGCTACGTGGGGCTACGTGGGGCTACGAGGGGCTACGAGGGGCTACGTGGGGCTACGAGGGGCTACGTGGGGCTACGTGGGGCTGAGGGGCTACGAGGGGCTACGTGGGGCTGAGGGGCTACGTGGGGCTGAGGGGCTACGTGGGGCTGAGGGGCTACGTGGGGCTACGAGGGGCTACGTGGGGCTACGAGGGGCTACGTGGGGCTGAGGGGCTACGTGGGGCTGAGGGGCTACGTGGGGCTGAGGGGCTACGTGGGGCTACGTGGGGCTACGAGGGGCTACGAGGGGCTACGAGGGGCTACGTGGGGCTGAGGGGCTACGTGGGGCTACGAGGGGCTACGTGGGGCTACGAGGGGCTACGTGGGGCTGAGGGGCTACGTGGGGCTACGAGGGACTACGTGGGGCTACGAGGGACTACGTGGGGCTACGAGGGACTACGTGGGGCTACGAGGGACTACGTGGGGCTACGAGGGGCTACGTGGGGCTGAGGGGCTACGTGGGGCTGAGGGGCTACGTGGGGCTACGAGGGGCTACGTGGGGCTGAGGGGCTACGTGGGGCTACGAGGGGCTACGTGGGGCTACGAGGGGCTACGTGGGGCTACGAGGGGCTACGTGGGGCTGAGGGGCTACGTGGGGCTACGTGGGGCTACGTGGGGCTACGTGGGGCTGAGGGGCTACGTGGGGCTGAGGGGCTACGTGGGGCTACGTGGGGCTACGAGGGGCTACGAGGGGCTACGTGGGGCTACGTGGGGCTGAGGGGCTACGTGGGGCTACGAGGGGCTACGTGGGGCTACGAGGGGCTACGTGGGGCTGAGGGGCTACGTGGGGCTGAGGGGCTACGTGGGGCTACGAGGGGCTACGTGGGGCTGAGGGGCTACGTGGGGCTACGTGGGGCTACGTGGGGCTACGAGGGGCTACGTGGGGCTGAGGGGCTACGTGGGGCTACGAGGGGCTACGAGGGGCTACGTGGGGCTACGAGGGGCTACGTGGGGCTGAGGGGCTACCTGGGGCTACGAGGGGCTACGTGGGGCTGAGGGGCTACGTGGGGCTACGAGGGGCTGGCTATGTGGGGCTATGAGGGGTATGTGGGGCTGTGTGGGACTATGCAAGCTCCTGGGCGGGGAGTGAGGCTCAATCCCAGGATCCTGGTATTGTGACCTGAGCCGAAGTCAGACGCTCAACCGACTGAGCCACCCAGGCGCCCCAACTTTTGTCTTTTAAAGAATGCCTTGTTTCCAACCATGTAATCCCCAGATGTGGCCAATTGTTTCAAAACCTTTTTTTTTTTTGAGTGGATTCCTACTAATTTGACTAGAAATGCCATCTCTATCATGTATTAAATTTATATATATAATCAACCTATCTCTGGGTTCTGTTCTTATGTGTTTATCCATTTCCGTATGAGTATTTTACAATACTAATCAAAAGTCCCACGTTGTTTTTCTTTTTCAAAATTTCAATGATTGTATGTCTTATCTCCCAAATGCATTTTAATTCTTGGATTTTGATTGGGATTTGTAATGATTTTGGGGAATTGATGGTTTTTAAATATTGGGCCTTTTTTTTCCTGGGTTCAAGATGTCTCCACTTTTTCAGGTCTTCTAGATCTTTTTTCTTCCCGTCTATGTCTTTTATTTTTATTATTTTATTTTTTTAAAAGATTTTATTTATTTATTTGACAGAGAGACACACAGGGAGAGAGGGAACACAAGCAGGGGGAGTGGGCGAGGGAGAAGCAGGCTTCCCGTGGAGCAGGGAGCCCGATGCGGGGCTCGATCCCAGGACCCCGGGATCATGACCCGAGCCGAAGGCAGACGCTCAACGACTGAGCCACCCAGGCGCCCCCCCCCCTCCCCGTCTATGTCTTTTAAATAAGACTTGATAGTTTTCTTCACAAAGGTCTTTCACACTTTGTGTTAGCTGTAATCCTATTTTATAAGCATTGTATTATTGTTATTGTAAATGGAGATTTGAAAAAATTGACTTTTAGTGTGGACAGAGGTATCAACTTTTGTATATGCTAGCCGTCTGACTGAGCTTTTTTATTCATTCCAAGAGCCGGTTGATTCATTTGGGTTTTCAGTATAGATGGGTCAAATTGACTAAAAATGTTTTACTTTTTCTATTCATGTAGTAGTATCTCCTTTCTCAGCATTGGTAATGAGGTCTCCTTGTTTTGTTCCAACTTTAATACTTTTAATATTTTACCATTAAGATGTGTCAGTGGGACTGCATCAGATAACCTTAAATAACTTTAGGACATTTACTTTTCCTAGAGGTTTTCTCGTGAAAGGGGGCTGAAATTTATTGTATGCAAATTTATTCAAAGCTAACTACTAAAGTTAATCATGTTTTTTCCTTCCTTTAATTTAGTATAGTTAATGGCATTGATAGAGTTTTATTTTTTTTCAAAGATTTTATTTTTGAAGTAATCTCTACACCCAAAGTGGGGCTCAAACTCACAACCCCGAGATCAAGAGTCACATGCTCAGAGAAACCTGGGTGGCTCAGTCTGTTTAAGCGTCTGCCTTCGGCTCAGGTCATGATCTCAGGGTCCTGGGATCGAGTCCCACATTGGCCTCCCTCTCAGTGGGGGGGGGGGGGGGCCTGCTTCTCCCTCTCCCTCTGCCCTTCCCCCCGACTTTGTACTCTCTCTCCCTCAAATAATAAAATCTTTAAAAAAAAAAAAGTCACCTGCTCTGACTGAGCCAGCCAGGCGCCCCAGCATTTTCTATTCACTCATGTTGTTTTTATATCTTTTAAAAACACCATTCCAGAATATATTTACTAGAATTTCCTGTAGTTTATGACCCAGGTTTTATGAATTGTGCTTATATCGTTTATCAACTATTAACAAATCAACCGATTAAGACCATCACAAATATTCTAAAATGTAACGTATAACCTCAATAACCAGTCAGAAGTCCACATTGTTCTCATGTTTTTGGAGAGAAGGGGATAAGAGGTGGCACAGTCTGGTGTGGAGAGCAGTGACCTCATCCGGGATTCAGTGGGGCTACTCAGCCTGTATTTGCCATTAAGTTGCTAGACAATCTTAAGACATAAGCTCTCGGCTTCAAATTAAAAATCTGTAAAATGGGTCAGCAGGGGCATCAAATGTTAGGGTGCCAGGAAGAGTGTCAACTACTGTCTGACTGTGAGAGATGATTAAATTACAGGGCGGGTATTTTAAACAAATGCAGTTATGAATGAAGATACAATATAAACACATTAAAATCTCCCGAGCCATGTAAAACCCGAAGGCATTAAAATTTATTAAATGATGCAATAACAACAGAATTCTTTATTTACAATAGCATTATTTAACATCAAATAAGCAAATAGCATCAGCAAAGCAATATTAACTTGCATAAATGTATTTAAAATTTCTCTGAATATATCTACCTTTGCATAAACTGCTCACACTAGAAATACAAACATCAATGCAGGTGAACAAAGTGATGTTCAGAGTCAACTCCATTTTGAAAATAAATCACAACCTGAAACACTGTAAGCTTTCTCCTGAAGAACCATAGTTAATATATTGCTTAATTTTACCCTTGTATAATCTTTTCATATACACACATCTCAGATGCAACTTCATGAGGAACTGTACAAATAAAACCCACAAATGACAAAGGAACAAAAATGACAGTTAAATGTTTGAAGAAATGTGTCATCATCACTATTCAACAACATAAAGGTTAAGTGATGATGCACTTATTCAAAAATTGTACACAATTCACTATACAAATATAATACATTGGACAGCTATGTAGGAATATACAAGACTTAAAAACAGATCTAAGGCATTATGCTAGATTTTAGCATTTTGAGGTTCTTGCACATAGCTTTTACCTGTAGTAAGAAACTTAAAAGATTTTGTTTTAGTCTATAAAGAAACACCAGGGAGAAAATTCTAATTAAAATCGAAGCCACTACAGTAATTTTCTTTTGTGCAGAGAATGCTTTGCTCTTAGGCAGCATACTACCATACAAATACTAGAAAATTTTAAATTCACACCAACAATTAATGGCTTAAGTTGCATTTCAAAATTGATTGTGTATCTTTGGGTTCTGCAAGTGGATCTGTGCCACCCATTTCATGTGTTAAGCCCATATGAACTCCATTTTTAAACACAGATTAAAAATTGCATTATATAAACTGCAAAAACATTGCTTTCAGTTATTACAGGCCTTAAGAGATACACGTGGAAGGGGCATTTTTAGTCTTTGAGTCGAACGAATTCATTGTAGTAAAACAGCTCACTTCACTTTTTAAACTTAGCACATTACATGAACACTTAAATGAGTTTTACAACCAAGTTAATGTACGTATACTTTTCACATTATGTGTTTTTCACATTTAGTAATATAAGTAAAACACTGATTATTTTGTTCTATTAAACAAAACCAAGTACTCAGTCTAACAAATTTATTGTTTACAGCATGAGAAATACTGATAATGAAGGGGATTGATTTGGCTTTTGCTTCTATAGTGATCAATATGATCAGAGGATTCCTTCACTGACTTTTCTTCTCTTAATTAGACGTAAAGCAAAATCCACTACCTGGTCTGAGCCATAAGAGAATTTACCATCTCTTCTCCTTCAAAACAGTAATGATCATGAATTATTCTAAATTACCAGTATCACAGGTTTGCAGATTTGTCTGAATTGGGATTGACATTAAGACACAGTGGGCAGATGGGTAAACGATACAAGATACACAGATTTTTGGACAGTGTTCTAGTGAAAAGGGACTTAAAAACAAAACAAAGCCAGTTTAAACTCCATTTCTCCTTTGTGCTGTGTGAAGTTGAAGTCATTCCGATTCACATATTTCTAAAAATCAACTTAAAACCGGTCACAGTAAACTGTGTCACGTGAGCCTCATCACACCGATGAGGTCATGGAGTTCCGGGCCAACATCTGCTTATTGTTTTCCATCTCAGCTGGGCAACCCAGTGGTTCGGTGGAGACGAGTAGAGCCTCTCGAGGGGACAACGTGAACTGGTGGCCGCCGAGAAGTGCTGTTCCTTGGCCACCTCCCTGTAGTGAGACCCCTCTCAAGTGGAACAAAGTATCGAAATGCAAATTTCCAGAAAATTTCTTTAGTATGGAGCAACACTTTCAGACCGTCTACTTAACCATTTATCTTTGGGCTACATCTCTTTCTATACGCCCTAATTTGCCCATATAGAGAGAGAGAGAGAAATAGAAATAGGGGTAGTTGGTACATTTTCCACCCTGCCACAAATAAACAAACAATCAAATTTCAAGGAAAAACCTCTCTGTTCCTAAAAAGCCTGGCTAATGAGATATAAAATGCTTTGCTTTTTAGACATCAAAAAGACATCATTCTGAAATTTAGGTAAGAAAGTATGTGTATTAGGGGCTTGGGGGGGAAATAGCTCAAAAAAGGCCATCAGTTTCTCGGTATTGCGGTTGTCTGAAACGGACGCCAATTAATAAAAGATTATTCCCCTACCAGAGTGGGCCAGAAAAACAACCATAAAAGTGGCCTGCTTAGTAACATGTAGTCTTTCTAAGATTCATTAAGAAAGAATATAAACATATAAAAATCAAGAATTGGTTCCTACAGCAGCTGCATATCATATAGATTAGATAAATGATTTATGAGCAGAATCACAAGGTTTAGAAAATAAAAAGTCTTAAGTCTACAAATTAGGTCTAATCAAGGCGTTGATATCCTTTACAAAACACCTTTAGGAGACATTGCTATGAAGATATCTAATTTAATACTGAAGTACCTCATTTTTGAGTCAATTCCACAATATGTATACCTCACAAAAATTATACAATTAAAACACTTAAGTTCTCAACTTAAATTATTGCTTGTTTACATATAAATTGGATTTTATGTACCTTACAAAACTTCGGCTTAGTCAGCACTGCTAAAAAACAAAATAAAAAACACATGGCGGAGGTTAAATCTGTTGTGATATCTGCTGTCAATTTTAAACACACTGTTATTTTTGCCCGTTTTTGTAGGCCAGTGTTGCTGGGGAACAGAATAAACATGCTTCCAAAGCAGGTATCCTTAGTTTGATCGGTATCAAGTCCTGACTTGGCTCCTCTCCTTGCCAGTAAATGCATTTTTCTGAAATTTAATAGTTAGCAATTGGTAAGTGGCTGGAAAAACATTTAAGGAAATAAAGGGCTTACCTGGTTTCTGTTGCTTTTTAAAAATTTTTTTTAACAAGATGAATGAATGTGGGGGAGAAGTGGGGAAGGCCAAGGGCGGGGGAGAGTCAGGATCACATGGGGAAGAAGAGGTACGAGTCAAAGCTGTCTGAGCAATCTAAAGGGAACTTAGTTTGAAAATGAACAATATTTCTTCTTGATTCACAATTTGGAACTAGTTTGATTTTGACAAAGAAAAAAAAAAAAGAAAAAGCACTTGTTAATATTAACAGCCCTTCACAGGCTCCTTTTCATCTGTTCGGTAACTGGAAACTCTTTCCAACATGGTCTCTAGAGCTTCTACAACAAAGGTACAACTCTGACTTTATTGGTCTTCACTTCTTGGGTCTCTGTTCATACAGCGCTGTCCATGGTGTCTGCTCTGCTTTTATCCCAAATACAGGCTTTAGCTTAGGACACCTTTAGTTTGATTTTTTTTTTTTTCCCTTAATTCTGTTCTTTCCCCGAGATGAAATCTTAATCTTTTGCACTAGACTGATTTAGCCAGGGAAAACAAAGCAAGAAACCAGTGTCTGGAACCAAACAGGAACAGAACAAGAGCATGGTTGTTTTCCTTAAATACATACATTTAAATACATTCAATCCGACATGGGTATGAAATTTGCCTGTCAACATTTACTTTGCAGGAGAGATCTAAGTTGCACTAAGGTGAATGCAGTGAACAGACTGAGCAACTGTCTGGACGCGAGCTTCCGACTGTCAAGCGAAGAGGCAGCTCCCTCCTGCAACAGCCAAGCGGACCCCACCCTGGGAGCCGGGGCCCAGGCCCATCTGCTGACTGGGCTCTGGCAGAACTGGCTGGCAGGTCGACTGGGTCAAAACAAATAGACACAGCTCTCCAGGCTGGTAAGTGTTTTGAGCAAGTGAGCCCAGTCAGCTGAAGAGAGAAGCAACCAGCTACCTTCAGTGTCAGCAATATTTCTGCAGGAAAACAGAGAGAAAATCGTGAAGTACCTCTGAATTTGTTGTAACACCGTCATAATGCTCATCACGAAATCATCAGAATACGTGGCCATTTTAAGTACTGCCAATTCCCGAAGGCCGCGTCTGGCTGAATTACACTTGATTTTGATGCAGACAGGCAGAAGGCACTGTTCCTAACTGGACACATTATTTCCAAAGGCCAGCAGACCCTACATAGCACTTTGAAAACCAAGGGACTGCGGTGGATTACCAACCTCTCCTTTGGAATGACTGCAGCTCTCTTCCCAGTGACCTCCCAGACCAGTTCAACCTCTCCCACCTCCTCAAATGAGATACTAAGACACCTTGATGCCGAGCTGCCCTTGCTTTTTGACAACATCGTTCAGAGGTGGCCACCACTTCCTTACCCCTTCCTCAAAATCATTGAGTACAAAGCCACTTTCAACGAAATGTCCGTCTTGACTCTCCCTTGTGGAGAGACTCCCCAGGTTCCACGGGATGTTTCCCTGGCTTCAGCAAGCTGAACAAGCAGGGTTTTGGCTCCAGGGGCATTCGTGCTAGTTTCTGGCTGCTATGAACTGACAGTTTGAGGGAGTGAACACGGAGGGCGGAGTGAGCAAGACTCACGTGCAGGTGTTTGCTTGGTTGGTGCAAGTCTGTGTCAGTGCTTTTCTCTGACTACTGACTATGTTTCCCCCCAAGATATTTTATCCATGTAGCAAATATTGAGTATCTACTCTGTGCCAGGTGCTGGGGATGTCACCATAACAGTATATTTCTGGTCACTGCTATCAAAACATTGAGTGGGCCAGGTAGACAATGAAATAACAGCAGGGTCCGAGTTACGCGAGAGGAAGTACTGGTTGCTGTGGGAACGAGTAACAACTGCTTCTGGGATTTAGATATTTAGACACAGCACATCAGGGCCACTAGAGATTATCTAGTTTAAGTCAGATCAGAGAGGAAGTTTCACTTAGTCCCTTCGAACGAGAGATCTGGGCGAACTGCCCCAGATCCTGAAGTGTCGCGGTCACAGGTGGGCTATGCCCGCGGCCCGCTGTGAGGCTCTCCCGAGCTCAACACGTCAGCACACGAGGATCGCTCTGGCTACAGCTCCTCGGAGAGAAGAACAGTGAATGTCCTTCATCTATAATATAAAGCTAATCTGTGTCACTTATATGATTTTATATAGAAATACTCCATGGCTCTGACTGAAACAGGAAAAAAATCCTTCAGTTTTCCAGTTAGTCTGGAAAAACAAATTGAGAAGTATTCCTATCCTTAGCCACTTGAAGGCGGCAGTATTCTCTAACACGGATGGACACCAACAAGCAGCTCTCAGGCAGGATCAGTGTTAGTGAGGGGCGCCTGGGTGGCTCAGTCGTTGAGCGTCTGCCTTCAGCTCAGGTCATGATCCCAGGGTCCTGGGATCGAGTCCCACATCGGGCTCCCTGCTCCGCGGGAAGCCTGCTCCTCCCTCTCCCACTCCCCCTGCTTGTGTTCCCTCTCTCGCTGTGTCTCTCTCTGTCAAATAAATAAATAAAATCTTTAAAAAAAAAAAAAAAGGATCAGTGTTAGTGAAAGAGAACGTGGAGCAGGACATGCATCTCTAGAGGAACGCTGCTTGGCTTGACATCTGGCTGTGTCACTTTAGGGGGCGGAGAGTCACTTAATCTTTCTGTCCCTAATACTTCCTAGGGCTGTTGTGAGCATTAAACAAAATGATGTACATGAAGTGTTGAAGTACTTTTCACAACACGGAAAGAGGTCGGTCAATGTCCTCGCCACGATCATTACCACCGCCACCTCAGAGCTGGTCCTAGTTAGCAATGGATTTCCGTAACAGGAGCAAGTACAAGTCATTACAGCTATACTTTATACAAGAGCCATGCAGCGGACCAAGAAACTCAATTTTGATAAGTTGAAGTACATGTAAAATATAGAGGCATAGTGTAAGTCCTTGTAAAAGGAAGAATCTTTGGTGATATAAAGTAACTGCCCTTCTCTAAATGGTGTTTTGGTAAATCCACAGTTGTATATTCTAGCTCTGCTTTAAGCAAAGTATAATTTTAATCTCCATTTCAAGATAAGTGGAACATAGATTCAATTAACAATGAATCACAGTGGTTCCCAGCTCAACAAATAGAACGAGGTTACCAATAAAAATCCTGAAAACAGTTCCGTGACTCACAACAGTAGCAGAGCCGGTCAGAGACACAAGAGGCCGTAGACGACCGGCTCCCCCGTGTACACATCAGCAGTACGGTGACAAGTACAGAGTCACTGCCACTTCTTACTCGTGGATTAGAAGGGATCTACTGTACGTATTAGTCTCCGGAGGAACCAAGAGTGTCTGACAGACTGTTCTCTGGCCTTAACATTCGGCATAAACAAAGTACAGATGGGTAAGCAAGATTCAAGAGGGGGACTGGGAAAAACAGAGAAAGTGGGAGGGGCGCGAACGGCCCAGGCTAGATGACAACAGGCAGAGCATTCTCGCCGCGGACGCCGAAAGGCACTTGTGATGGAGAGAACATCCTGTATTGACTGGAAGTTGCTTTTTGTGGTGCTAATCTTTCCATTTTAGTTTTAGTGGGCACCCATTGGTGCCTAGATGTGCATGAATCAATACCCTGGTTGTCCTGGCCCACCTTGCCTACACCTTTACCTCTCCACTGTGCCCAGGCCCCCCTCCCCTCTAGGAGAGATGCCCCCACACACTAGGTGTGTGGGCTTGGGCAAGTTCCCTAATCCTCTGAGATTCAGTCTCCTCATCTCTAAGTGTTGGGAAGGCCTAAATATCTGATGGGCCCGGCATGGTCCCTGTACACTAGAGACCAAATGGTACATTCCCTTTCCTGACGTCAGAGGATTTTCCCTCCTGAGATCCCAGTGCCTGAAGCTGAGGACTCTTCTCAATATGGAGCTGAATCTTTACTGTCTGCCTGTCCTACAGGATGTGGGAATATTTCTTTTCCCTTCAGGATCTATAAAATGAGAGAAAGGAATAGCGACCAATTTGTTTTTTGGGGGCCTTCCCCAATGTTACTTGCACAAAACCTTTAGAAAGATATCATGGGAGCTCCGCGTCCCCTTTGGGGAAGTAAGCGGTAGAGTGCAGGGGCTGGTAACACACACTTGGGGGTCAGCGTGCCTGGGTTCCCTTCCTGGTGTTTTGGGACCTTGGGTAAGTCATTAAACCCTCAAAACAGTAGTTCTACTATATGGTTGTGATGTGCTTTAAGTGGTCTAGTCTAAATAAAGCCCTGAGCAGATAATCATGCTTGTGGTAAATGCTCAACCTGTTGGTTGTTTCTAGAACTACAAAAGATTACGGGGATGCCTGGGTGGTTCAGTCGGTTAAGCATCTGCCTTTGGCTCAGGTCATGATCCTGGGGTCCTGGGTCGAGTCCCACATTGGGCTCCTTGCTCAGCAGGGAGCCTGCTTCTCCCCCTGCCTGCTCTGCCTGCCGCTGCCCCTGCTTGTGTTCTCTGATGAATAAATAAATAAAACCTTAAAAAAAAAAAAAAAAAAAGAAAGATTATGGGTGCCTGCTCTGTGGGGCCGCTGGCGTAGGTTGGCACATAGTCACACTGAAGGTGGAGGGTTCAGGGAGGGAAATGTGATCCTGGCCCCCAAATGCTTTCTTTCTCCCACAGAGCTCTGATGTGCCCAGCGGTTAAGCTCCCTGGCACTTCTGGGTTAAAATGGGCTATCCTTTGGTAGAAGCCTAATTACCACTAATGTCATTGCTCCCCCGGGAAGCACCATCCCAGGTTTTAAGCTTTTACTTTCTGCACACAAGCCATCACTGAGTTATGTGGCCACTCTCTGTAGAGGTGCAGTGGGGTGGGGGTGGGGTGGGGGAGGCAGGACTGGCAGCAAGAAGACACCAGCCTCCTAAGGGGCTTCAAACTTCAATAAATGGCACATTTAGAGTCTAAACACATGGTCAATATGAAATACAGTCAATACAGGATGTTCTCTCCATCACAAGTGCCTTTCGGGGTCCGCGGCGAGAATGCTCTGCCTGTTGTCATCTAGCCTGGGCCGTTCGCGCCCCTCCCACTTTCTCTGTTTTTCCCAGTCCCCCTCTTGAATCTTGCTTACCCATCTGTACTTTGTTTATGCCGAATGTTAAGGCCAGAGAACAGTCTGTCAGACACTCTTGGTTCCTCCGGAGACTAATACGTACAGTAGATCCCTTCTAATCCACGAGTAAGAAGTGGCAGTGACTCTGTACTTGTCACCGTACTGCTGATGTGTACACGGGGGAGCCGGTCGTCTACGGCCTCTTGTGTCTACTTTCTGTATGACTCACTATAGCAACATTAACCATTTAGATGAGCTGTGCATCTGGGTACTTACAGAAAACATCTATAGGACTTCCACCCATGGGCCTCTCTGCCATGATGACTGTGGTTTTGTTTTTTTTTTTTTAATATTTATTTATTTGAGAGAGAGAGAGCACGCATGAGCGGGTGAAGGGGCAGAGGGAGAGGGAGAAGCAGACTCCCTGCTGAGCAGGGAGCCTGATGCAGGGCTCGATCCCAGGACCCTGGGATCATGACCTGAGCTGAAGGCAGACGCTTAACCAATTGGGCCACCCAGGTGCCCGACTGTGATTCTTTAAACAAGAAAAAACACACAGAAAATTCACACACTGTGTTTTCAAATCTAGATTACTTAAAAAAAGTAATCTCTACACCCCATATGGGGCTTGAACTCATGACCCAGAGATGAAGAGTTGGATGCTCTACCTACTGAGCCAACCAGGCATCCCTAGATCTATTACGTTTTTTTAAATTTTTTTTTTTTTAATTAGAGAGTGAGTGAGCAAGAGAGAGAGAGAAGAGGGGGCAGAAGGAGAAGAGAGAATCTCAAGCAAGACAGGCTCCACACCAAGCACAGAGCCTGACACAGGGCTCGATCCCATGACCCTGAGATCATGACCTGAGCCAAAGGCAGACGCTTAACCAACTGAGCCACCCAGGTGCCCCTGGATCTATTACTTTTTAAACTTAGGTATTAACAAAACCATCCAAGATCCACTTTTTGGCAGGAAACTGAACATCGATCCTACATTTTCTCCACTGAGAGAGATTTTTTTTTTTTTAAAGATTTTATTTATTTATTCATGAGAGACAGAGAGAGAGAGGCAGAGGGAGAAGCAGGCTCCCAAGGAGCAGAGAGCCCGATGCGGGACTCGATCCCAGGACCCTGGGATCATGACCTGAGCCGAAGGCAGACGCTTAACCATCTGAGCCACCCAGGCGCCCTGAGAGAGAATTTTTAACTTAAAAAAAAGTTATCTACTGCTAAGGATTATATCCCTTACCATTAAGAGGGCCCCGTAGGCCCATTTATCTATGTGCTAAACTGCTCACAGAGCCTTCCTGTTAACAGATCTGCTACTAGGCACACAGTTCAGTTGGGTTCTAAGTACTGATTATTTTTTTTCAAGATCTGACTGAACATGGTAATATCACTCTCCTTAGAACAAGCGTTGAAGATAATAGGCAAATAATATGACTGTTGCCTAAACAAAATGAAATATAGAAAAAACTCTTAAAAAGAATAAACATACACTTAATTAAGGGATAGAGAACAATTGTAAGTTAGCTCCTCTTTATCCTCCTGAAAATCTAACATTATGATTCAGAAAAAGTAAAAATAAATCAAAGTTTGCCCTAACGTGACTGATTCATTGCTACTTTTTTTGCTTTGCTATAATAATATCATTTCAGAGCAAAATTAGTGTTCTTAATTCACACACCACCATTAGCTCAATTAAAATGAGCTTAAAGAAATAATTATTCACAGAAAACCACTGTATGGCAGATAAAATTACAAGATATTTTTAAAAAATCGCAAGCGTTACAACTATCTTCCATCTACTGGCTGACAATGTATCTGTCAATTTTGGTCTATAAAATATCCATGTTCACTTTACTACCCTATACTACCCTATTCACATATTTCTTTGCTGTTTTCTCACCCGTGATGCGTCTCCCTCCTGCTTAATCATATCCATTCCAGGCAGCTGGTTTGGGAAAAGGTTGCCTCCCCTCAGAGCAGGATCATTAACCTGAGGGCACAAGACGGTACAATGGCTATATTCAGTGGGACGTCCAAAAGTGTACTGGGGAGTAAGAACCAACCATCAATCTTCCTCCTCTTCTTGGTTTTTAGGAATAGAATTATGGGGAAAGAGGACTATATAAAAACGGCTCCATCCCTGTATCCACTCTCCCACGTATAGATTTTGGGGGGAGTGTGGAGGAACAAGAAAATAAATATTTAGACTAAACTGCCTTCCAAATTAAAATTTGCATTCTGTGTGGAAATTTGACAGAGACAATACTAGAAACATTTTCATGCCTTAACATGTTCACCTTTTTGGCTGGTTCCAATGAGACCAATGACTCATATGTGGGACTTTAAAGTCATCTGAGAAGCTCCTAATATCTTTGTTACTCAGGCAAGTTATTGATTAGGAAGAGCAGGTCTGAGTACCCAAGAGTGCTGAATTTTGGAAATCTTCTACAACCAAATGAACTATTCATTAGCATTCAAACAATTCTTTTACAAATTATGAAGTAAAGGTAATACTAATACTGTATAGGACTGATTTTGTCCGAAGAAACACTACAGTTGTATTTTTTGGGCTTCCAAATTAATTCTGATATTCAAAAGGTTTAAATCTATGCACAAGTTTCTATGCAGACATGATCTGGATTATTAAAAATGCACTGATTTACTTCCAGGTAGGCTGCGTAGGACCCATGCTAGACTAGACCATCTCAGCGGCCCTTGCTTTATACAGTTTCCCTAGGAAGAAAATCAGGAACCACTACTAGTTCCTTTTTGTACAAAATTCAAAAATCAACACTACATTTTCTCCATTAGAAAGACAAAAGTCTATCTTTAATTATGTCTGTTTAATTTACCCAAATAAGCATCAATTCAACTACAAGAAGTGCAAATTATTACACACACAGAGCTTTCTTAAATGGCAAAGGGCTTTAAATTTTCTCATGCACTACTCTGTATTTTTATTAACATCTTCTTATAGAACAAAACACTGAGGCACTGTAAAATTTAGTAAAATTTTTCACACAAATTGTGGTTTGCCAACATTAGCTTAAATAGACCTAATCAAACTCTGAATCTTTCACTATTCTCACAAATATGATCTAACTGAAATGTACAGTTCTGTCAGTGACTTATTAAGTCATTTAAACTTCCTATGCCTTGATTTCTCCATACATGAAATAAGACTCAGGGTCTTTGCCACATCTCTACTTTGCATGTACTACTGAGGTAGTAGAATGCCAAGCATTTTGTGCCCTTTAGAAATAAGGTCTTCTGGAAATAAAATTTAAAAATTATTAACTGATATCTTTACCTGTGGATCAGCTACCACAGATTTTCAATCCCAGGCTGGCTACCTGAGATATCAATGCATTCAGTCTCTTTGCCACCAAGTGAAGCTGGTATGCTCTTAGGGATAGTAGAATCATCACAGTCTTAGTCAGAATTACAGTCTTAAGCAGAATTCTTTAAAAAATATTGACCAGAAAACCATGGCACTCACACCCCCAAGATGATAATTAGAATAGTTTTTGGAATGATCAGTGTCAGTCTCCCTGCACGAGTGAAGTATCATTTAAAACTGAATGGATGGGGACAGGGCGGGGGGTGGGGTGGGGAATAAAGCTAATTGGATGGCAGGCAGTAAGTCTGGCCTTTGCGATTCATCTGGTTTTTCATTTAGAAGAAAATCGGTTCTTAAACTATAAATCCAAAATAAAGCTATTTAAGAAGTACATTCACCATTCCATTTTTAGAGAGTCACTTTAGATATTGCTAAGTTCCTCAAGTAAGAAATCATTTAAGTGACAAAGTTAGGAAGTATTTTAAAAGATCCTTAAGTAGTCAAAAATCCTTTCATGTTTATTTCGTCATTAACAAGTATATCTGTTAATTGCACAAACACAGGTGAAAGTAAGGTGAGAAAACACTCATCAAAATAAATGTGGGAGTTGATGGTAGATGTTAAGTACACGGAAAGATACACTGAACGCAGAAATAGACAAAAAGTTATGATCAGAAGACAATGGGCTGCTTCTCAGGGTGCTCACCTGCTCAGGACCCATGGAGGACAGCCCTGACGTAGGCACGGAGGTCACTGAGGTCATGCTGATCTGTCCTGTCATCTGGTTCATGTTGCTCATCCCACCTGTGTTGGTCGCCATGGATACATTGATGTTCATATTGTTATTGTACATGCTGGTGTTTGCTTGTTGCCCAAAGTGTGGTGGGGACTGTTGTGAAAACATGCTAGAACATAAGGAAAAGATGAAAACGTCAAGAGTTGTAGGGCAAATAGGCAGGCAGTTCTGACACTTGCTTCTCAGGCATTTACTTCATTTACTTCATAATGAATAAGTCTAGGCTGAAAGAACCTAGGGTGAGGCAGCCAGCAGGGGTGAAGTCAGAAATGGTAAGGGAAGTGCTCAATGAAGCTACAGGGGTGACCACGCTCCTCTCCTTTTCCTAAGGTCACCGGGAAGGTCTAGAGATATATTTTCCACTTTCATGTCTGCACCCACAAGCTTTTCATTTGTTTGTTTTTATTACATGTACTGATAAAGGATGGCTTCTAGGGCACTGCCTTCCAGAGCAGTTTCTAGCTTAAATTGGTGGGGTGATACCTTCTGATGGGAGTTCCTTTTATTCCTATGGAAAAGATATGCTAAGCTTTTGTAAATTCTGATAACTTCTGCCCTAGGAAAACTTCCTTAATTAGTAGTTTGACATTGCTTGCTTGAGCAAAAAAGTTAAGAAAAAAACAGAAAAGATGGGCACCTGGCTGGCTTAGTTGGTAGAACATGTGACTCTTGATCTCAGGGTTGTGAGTTTAAGCCCCTGTTGGACGTAGAGCTTACTTAGTTAAAAAAAAAAAGGAAAAATACTGAAAAGAGATAGGTGGTCTATAGAAAGATTCCCTGGTGATCATTTATATCAAAACGACACAGAAACACGGCATACCTGTTTCCACCCATATTCCCCTGAGCCCACCCATTCATGTCAGAGGAGGCCTGGTAGGCTGGATTAGCCTGAGACTGCTGCATCATGGGGCTCTGGGTATGTGCCATTCTGGGCGACATCAGAGGGCTCTGGGGCGTTGTCGCCCCAGTAAAGCCTGGATCAGGTTGCTGACTTATTCCTTAAAAAATAAAACAGAAATCCAAAGGAGATTGTTAGTTTTATGGTAGAGACTAGGAAGAAAAAAAGAGAACATTCAAATTACATACACATAGAAAATTACTTTCAAATACCTGATCACGTGCTGGTTAATTATATACACCTTAAACAGATTCCAAACTGGGATAAGATGCACGAAGCAAAACATTTCCATATTTCGCTTCTCTACAGTAGTCACAAGGGTGCCTAAGAACCATGTTAACCACCATGACTAGAGATAGAGAAAACAGTGTTCCTTCCCCTTATCTCTCTTCAAATCAAGAATGAGTCAAACAGATATATTTCTCTTTTACCTGAAATAGTCTTTAAATTTTTATATACCACTACAATTGGATTGTTTAAACTTTAAATCAGATTCAAGTTCAGCTATATATAAAAAGTTAACACATCTGAATAATTTTTTATTGAATCAAGTCATTCTGTGATGAAATCAATGCATTTTTTAAAAACTGCATCACGATTAGCTTGTTTCATCTCTATAAAGGGCTCTATGGCACTTCAGTGCTATCTAAGATGAGCAAGAATCAGAAAAAAAATTCAATGTAAGCTTCTTGTTCAGTTTAGAAGCAAATGGCATTTACGCTAAAAGAAGGAACTTTCAGAAGACTTTTCGAAGTCATCAAAAAGGACATGGAGGAAAGGAGTTTCGAAACAAAGGCAGCAACTCAGGAAATTTCAAGAAGGACAGTAAGGGAAGCGCGTTTCTGCCTAGATGTGTGCAATGTGCAGATTTAATGGATACTTAGATTAGCTGTGAAAGAAAAGTTTATGATCACATAGAAAAAGCTGCACAGTATCTGTTTAAGAAATCGGAGACATAAATGTCAAAGCACCACACAGACTTGATATTTATAGATAACTCTGGCAAAAGATAGGTAAAGTCATTTAGAATATTAACAACATAAGCACTTACTTTTATCAGTAATTCAACCATTAATTGAACATGACATGCACACAAATATTAATGTTTATGACATTACACGTCTGTCTCTTAAGACTGACATTAAATAACAAATCAATATGAAGAAAACCAAGAGGCCTTCCACTGGCGTTTCTAGATAACACTTCTCAGGAATTACCTATTCATTAAAGATTTGGGATCATCTTTTTTTCAAAAATTATAGAATGTCGAATACTTGCATTTATATAGGTCTTCCAACATTTTGTATATATCTATTGATTTGTTTGAGTCAGACTCAGAGGTTTTCAAATATAAGTACATACATATGCACCTGTGTGTACAGATGTTGACAGAAACACATATATTCATACACACTCACACACACAACTGATGGACTGCACACACGCACACTTACTTCGGTCACTCTTAAAGTAAGACCTGCACTCAGAGAAAAGGTGGTACCTGAGCTGAGAGACTGGAAGGTACTGTGCTGGACCTGGGGACTCCTGACAGGCCCCAGCTGTCCTCCCAGGTTGCCTATCACTCCCTGGTTAGCCAGACTCATCTGGGAGCCATGCAAAGAGCTGTGAGAGAGGAGCTGAGACCCAAGATCGGGGGACACTGGGGAGAAAGGACTGGTGAAAGGTGGTGGGGATGGAAGCCCAGTACCGTAGTTCGGAGGAAACGGAAACTGTTGTGCATTTGCCTGGGGCATCCGGGGGTTGCTCAGAGTTGCTGGTAAGCTACCAGGAGCCACCATGCTCGAGGTCATATTCAACCCTTGTCCTCTCATCATCAATGTTCGCTGCTGAACTTGCTGTTGCTGATGCATTTGTCTCTGCCGAAGATGCTGGTTCAGGATTTCCCTCTGTCTTTGGGCCAGCATCTGTGCATTAATAGGTGCCTAAAACGGGGGTGAGGTAGGGAAGACACAGAGGGAAACATTGGGGGAAGACACAGATTGAAAAACAAACTGTATATTAGAAACAGGACAAAATCATTTGGAAAATAAAATTACAGGGAAAGAACATTTTAGAGTTGAGCAATTGGTGGGTGAGGATGTGAGCTTCTAAATTCTAAGAGATGAAGATTTTTCTGAAACCTTGCAATGACTTACATGGGTAAGTTCAGTGTTAGTTCAATTAACTTGGAACTCACTGTGAGAGGCACGGTTAACTAAAGGACCTCACAATACCAGTCCTATCTGTAAGAAGAATGTCATATAAACCTTAAAGACGGCAATCTGGAGTCTCATGCAAGGGACATTCAGGTCTAAAGGGAAACCAAATCATCGGTGCCAAAATGTGGCTTGAAGCCCATCAGAAAAGGCTGAACAGAGGCAGGAAGAAAGCAGGGAGGGTGTGTGTTGGGGGGGGTGATAGGAACATACAGGACAGGCCAGGGCAGAACGAGGAGGAGGAAAGGAGGGATGGATGTAGGGAAGGGGTGCCAATGCTTGCTGCCAGCAAGAGGCATAAGGCTGTTTATGGGGTCCTAGCAATACACAGTCAATCCTCATTATTCATGGATTTCATATTGGTGAACTTATCTACTTGCTTGTAACCCCCAACTCAATATTCACAGCAATGCCCTTATTTATGGACAGGTGCAGAGAGGCAAAAAAAAAATTTTTTTTTTTTTTTTTTAAGATTTTATTTATTTGACAGAGAGAGACACAGCGAGAGAAGGAACACAAGCAGGGGGAGTGGGAGAGGGAGAAGCAGGCTCCCCGCCGAGCAGGGAGCCCGACGCGGGGCTCGATCCCAGGACCCCGGGATCATGACCCGAACTGAAGACAGACGCTTAACGACTGAGCCACCCAGGCGCCCCGAGAGGCAAAAAAAAAAAAAGTCCAAGGTGCGTTCATTCCCACCTGAGGCTGAAACAAGGCAACACTCTGCCTTCTTGTCTTAGCCTCATACTGGAAAGAAGTGCCCTTTTTGTGGACTATTCAGTTCCACGTTTTTCACTCTGCTGTGCTCGTCCCTGGTGATTTTGCTGTTTACAATGGTTCCTAAGAGTAGCGCTAAAGTGCTGCCCCGTGTTCCTAAATGCAAGAGGGTGTGACGTGCCTTATGGGGAAGACACGTGTTAGATGAGTTTCACTCAGGCAAGAGTCATAGCGCTGTAGTCTCTGAATTCAAGGTAACAAATCAACAATATATATTACACAAGGTGTCTTCAAACCGAAACACACACGAAACATGGATACGGACTGATGGACTGCTAACAATGTTGTCACCACAGGCTGGTAGCAACCAAACCCTTGATTTCTCCAGTTCACTAATTCAGTGTTTGCATTAACTTTACAGAACACAACAGAAGTAAATAATGAGAATCGACTATAGCTGGCAGTGAAAATGGCAGTGTTTAGGAGGGAACTACAAAAGTGACAGGCTAGGGGCGCCTGGGTGGCACAGTTGGTTAAGTGTCCGACTCTTGGTTTCGGCTCAGGTCACGATCTCAGGGTTGTGAGATCGAGCCCTGCGTTGGGCTCTGTACTCAGCGCAGAGTCTGCTTGAGTTTCTCTCTCCCTCTCCCTCTGCTGCTTCCCTCAGTGTGAATGCTAGCTTGCTCTCTCTCTGAAATAAATAAATCTGGGGGGGGGAAAAAAAAAAAAAGCGACAGGCTAGATGGACATCTGAATGACCTAACAGATCCACGGTCGTATGGCCTTCTGAGTTACTTTGCACGGAATCTCAAGGAGGAAGGAATGACAGAGAAATTCAATAGATGCTGTGAAAGCTGATGGCTGGTCTGCTCCTTACCTGTGTTGGTACTCCAGGCCTCAGAGTCAAGTTCACATTTGAAACATTGCTGATTTGATTCATAAGTGGCTGGCGATTCTAAATGCATACACACAGAAGAATCAATACATTTTTTAAATAGAGTATATTTTAAATCACCTTTCTTGAGAAATCACCTCCTCCAACATAACCTCTGAATGCCATGAGGTACTGAAACCACGTGTTTTACAGCTGAATTCCCTTAGAAAGCTAATTATCAGTAAGGTTTTACATTGCTTTTAACAGAGAAGGTATTTTGGACTGTTCATAGAAATCTGTCTAGGCTTGTTTCAGTGAGAACACGTTCTCTTGAGCTAAGCAGGTATTCATAAGGCAACACTGCTCTGCCACCATTCAGCTAAGAGTGACTATTTCTGTCATAAGACAGGCCTAAGGATAGGAGCTACTGTTGTCCTGTGTGCTCACATTGGGTGAGACACCACGTGAGGTCCTTGTACTCACATACACATTGCGCTACACCACACAACAGCCCCATTTCACAGACAGGAAAACGGAGGCTCGGAGAGCTCAAGGCTACACTGTTAATAAATAATAGGGCTGGAAAACAGAAGGACAGCTACCCTGTGCTGGAGTGTAGTAGAGGAGGCAGAAGGGAAATCAGTAAGGCAGAAAAGAGCAGGAGACATAGGATCGTCCTGGAAGGGATGGGATGAGCATCAAGCCCTCCCCAAGGACGCAAGATGGTTAGGCCAGCACGTCAACCTGCCCCCTGCCCACCCCCTTCCCAGGCGCCGGCGAAGAGCATACCTGCTGTGCCTGGAGGCGATGCTGCAGCTGGAGCCTCAGCTGATTCGGCTGGTTCTGCACCAGGCCCGTGGGCCTGAGGCCTGGCCGGGGCTGCATGCGGAGTGTGGCGTAGCTAGGCCGCTGGCCCATGGTATGAAAGCTGGGGTCTTGCATGGGAGGATAGCTACCCTGGGCCATCTGTGCCTGGGACGCATACTGCTGTGGGAAAACAGCGGCCTTCTGCTCCAGCATGATGTTGGAGTCCTGACTTGGGAACTGTTCTGGATCTACTGCTTGGCTCTGAAGAGAAAGCCCCCAGATGACAAACAAACAAACAAACAAACAAATAAAACCACTAAAAACAAGAGAGTAAATATAAGGTGGTTTTCTCTCACTGTCATGTATTTGAAGCCTTTTACACTTACTACTCAAAGGAACTTAGCTCGACTCCACTTTTCTTCCTAGAGAATATCTTTGTTCAACACACCCACGTCTGTGAGGAGAGAAGCGGGGTCGGGCCTGACTCCCAGCAACACTTCTTCCAAGGGAGGGGAGAATGAGGCCATGATTACGGGACTCCTCCTCCTCACTCTGCCAAGCAGAGACTGACCCGGACTTTAAAATGCGGATGTCCCCTAAGATTGTTACCTTTTTCGCTAATTTTTCATACCTGTAAAATCATTTTACTTAGACAGTCACCTTGGTGCCTAGCTATGATCAGCAGTGTTGGGGTACCTACCAACCTTTATTCCCATTTTGCAGCTAACAAAAACTGAGACCTGGAGATGTGAAGCAAGTTGCAGCAGGCCCATCTGGCTGGTTAAGTAGTGGGTTCCAATCCAGTTTGTGATTCAGCACCTGAGCTCTTCACCAGGGGGATACACTGCCGTTATGTCACTGTTTTCTGTGGCTGACAGAATTTCCTACAGTTTGCCACCATCTTATTACCTACTAGACACATTTAATGTGTTTGTCGTTCTTGACTTCTTAAGGCTTCCTTATCTATCTGGGTCAGAATGAGGCAGGTGTAGAAAATCCAGAACTAATGCAAGGGGGAGCACCTCAGACCCAGGTGGCCTCTAAATGTCTGTGTCTAGGATAAAGGCGTACCTGGCTAATTCTCCTCCTTCTATTTCTAGGATGATTGCTCCAAACCTCCGGATATAAACAGGGAAGGACCCAATAGCAAAAGCTCTTTTGCTTAGTCATGTCCTAAGGCCTCACTCAGACCAGTCTATCCAGGTCAGAGCAGGGCCCAGGCATCTCCCAGGATCCTGGGCTCACTGTCAGCGAGGCCCTGAGGCCCACCTGTGAGAACTGGGCCCGCTGCCCTCTCCAGCGTAGTGTTAAAGATGTGGATGGAACCTACCCAGGGGAAACCATTCATTATTGAATTACTGCTCTGGCTACACCTACAAAACTATCTCCGAACTTTAAATATTTGCCCATCTTTAACAGAAAAAAATTTAATTAAATAATTTCCATTTTTAAAGATTTTTTAAAATTTACTATTTATTAGAGAGAGAGAGAGGGAGAACATAAGAGGGGAAGCAGGACAGGGAGAAGCAGACACACGCTGAGCAGGGAGCCGGAGGTGGGACTCGATCCCAGGACCTCAGGATCCCGACCTGAGCTGAAGGCAGATGCTTAACCAACTAAGCCACCCAGGTGCCCCAATAATTTCCATTTTTATTTTTATTTTTTTAAAAGATTTTATTTATTTATTTGACAGAGAGAGACATAGCGAGAGAGGGAACACAAGCAGGGGGAGTGGGAGAGGGAAGAAGCAGGCTCCCCACAGAGCAGGGAGCCCGATGTGGGACTTGATCCCAGGACCCTGGGATCATGACCTGAGCCGAAAGCAGACGCTTAACAACTGAGCCGCCCAGGCGCCCTAATAATTTCCATTTTTAAAGAAAACACACAACTCTGATGTGTACAAGTAAATCCATTTGTACTCTCCATTTCCCCCGACTCCACTGAATAATGTTTCTATAATTCAGTTTAATATGATACTATACTGATGATGGATGTGATGAGACAAAGAGAAGACAACAAATAGATAAAGAAAGGAGACTAAAAATATTAATGAGGAGATGACATTAGCTTTGATAAAAACAATGCTACAAGTCGCTCAGCAGTCCCAATAGCCACATTTTTAAATGTCACTTGGACAAAACTCGAGGATAACAATACTGAAGAGGCTGACTTCTAACTACCGCTGAAACAGAGCCAACCAGCCACACAGGAAACACTTAAATTCCATGCTCCTTTCTCGATTTACTTCAGCTTCTATCATGTAACCTTCTCAAGTCGTTTCTCTTTCTTTCCATTCTGCTGCTCTCGATATGAATTGACAAGTCTTCATTCACCCCCGCCCCCCCTCGACGTGTGCTGTACTGCGGGCAGGATGACAGTACTGTTCCTGTGCTTCGGAGAAGCCCCCGATGACTCTGCATGGCCTCTGACAGACCCTCCCAACACACCACATGTCCGAGAACTAGCCTGCACACGGGAAGGTCCTTTCCAACAATAAGAAATAAAGAGGATTTGTTGTTGCTGAGAAAAGAGGAAGACGGTACCAAGACTGTGATCGTTTTTTTCTAAATGTGTGCCTGTTGTTACTCTTTACAAAGTAAACCAGGATGTCTGCTTCCCACAAATTTAGCTGGGTAGCCAGATACAGAAAATTCTACGTTATTGCATGAGACTATGTTAGGTTGTTTATTCTATTATTGCTGTGAAGTACTCTTTAAAGCAGAGAATTTCTTTAACCAACTAATTATCAGAAGGAGGAGAGCTAAATAAGCACATTAAGACTGGTTAACTTCCTTATATTCCCATTTATGCTTAAATATCAACCCACACAAAGGTAAAAATGACTAATGAACTGCAGCTACTTCTAAAATGACTTCTGCTAACTTATGTGCAAAGTATTCTTTTAGCACAATACTTCCTATCACCAGCCCGCAAATGTAAAGATTTAATAGGATGATTGGGGCACCTGGGTGGCTCAGTCATTAAGCGTCTGCCTTTGGCTCAGGTCATGATCCCAGGGTCCTGGGATCGAGCCCCGCATCGGGCTCCCTGCTCTGTGGGAAGCCTGCTTCTCCCTCTCCCACTCCCCCTGCTTGTGTTCCCTCTCTCGTTGTCTCTCTCTGTCAAATAAATAAATAAAATCTTAAAAAAAAAAAAGATTTAATAGGATGATCATGGATGCGGACTGGTTTTTTAGATGAAAGGGTTCTAGGCCATTGGGGCAGCAATGCTCCGTTCTTGATTTCCCTGTTCTCTGCTCCTCATGGGTCCCTCCCTGTCATTAGGTGAGCTGGCCCAGACTTTCTGCTTTTCAGCTCAGTAACCCAAATTATACGTAAAGCACATTTTTAGTGTTTTCCATTCTTGGACAAAAGTTTATGTGGGGGTAACAAGGAGGGCAAGAACGAAAACAGAGCTAGCTTGTTATGAGATAAAGAAGTATTCTAAAAAGCAGACCACAGATCATCTGTATGCAAAAGAAAATGGACAATTTCGTGCCCACGAGAGTGCTGGGCCCCCACCAGCCTCCCTCGGTGCGTACCTGGCTGACCAGTTCGGGTATTCCGAGAGCTCTGTCAATCTCCTCGAGGCCATCGAAATTCCGCAAGGCCAGATAGAGCTGGTCCAGGAGAGCTCCTTCATCACTTGGAGATTCTGCTGCAGGATGTGGACACAGCAAGTCATCTGGAGAGCTGCCAAATGGCTGCCTGTAAAGAGACAAACTTCATCTTGGGCCATGGAAAAGCTAGTAGATTAGAGAACATTTTTTTTTTCTCTTAAAAGTTCATTAAAGTCAACCAGTTGATTTCCAGGGTCTTTGTAATAAAATACCGTACCGGCCAGACATAGAACAAAATGACAACTCCCAATAACGGACACACTTTATTCAGGGCCTAACACAGGCCAGACCCAAATCGAGGCATCGGATGTATAGTTTTTGTTATTGCCCCCGCTTTAAAGCTGGCAAACCTAAATAAATGTATCATCACCTTGTAATAAGAAAAATGCTTCTAAAAATAAGAGACATACAAGTAAAGCTGGCAAAGCTGAGGCTTAGGGAGGTAAAGCCACGTGTTGGGAGATCACACACACCGACACCGCAAAGCCGGATGCCAGCAGAGGCCCGTGCGGTTTCAGGGCCCGCCTGCTGACTGTATTTCCACAAATTTACAGATTTCTCAGGTATCTATATATACACTTTGCCCTGAAGTAATCAACGGATTTTTCTGAACTTTAGTAGGAAAGATAAATTGGAGCAGCCATGTTTCATACGAGGCTGTGATGACCCACCCGGGCGAGACTAGAGACCTATAAGCATAAAAGCTACATTAATTTTTTTGAATTCAGCTGTCGCTAGACTACCTTTGGCCAGACTAATAGGAAATTTCTTAGTCATGCATAAGCAGGCCTTGTAAACATTTCTTAAAGTCCTCAGGAAGTGTGGCTCTCAGCCTTTCTGAGTTAGACAGTCAAGAAAAGTAGATCATGAATGTACAAATTATATTTGTTATTATATAAGGTCATAGGTGATATAACCATAACACTGAATTCCAAACACTATGGTATATAAAACTCCTATAATTTAAATCAACTGACAAGTTGGAGGGGTGTTTAAAAAGAGCTTCCAAGTTAGTTTAATATCAGAAGGGAAAAATGACGCTTGTATTTTGCCAAAAGAGTCTAATTTATACACTTAGAGTTACCATATGATGTTCTGGAGAAAAGACAAGTTTATGAGTAAGTAGCTTCATTCTTTTTTTTTTTTTTAAGATTTTATTTATTTATTTGACAGAGAGACACCGCGAGAGAGGGAACACAAGCAGGGGGAGTGGGAGAGGGAGAAGCAGGCTTCCCGTGGAGCAGGGAGCCCGATGAGGGGCTCGATCCCAGGACCCTGGGATCATGACCTGAGCTGAAGGCAAACGCCCAATGACTGAGCCACCCAGGCCCCAAGTAGCTTCATTCTTTTTTTTTTTTTTTTTTAAAGATTTTATTTATTTATTTGAGAGAGAGAATGAGGGACAGAGAGCACGAGGGGAGAGGGTCAGAGGGAGAAGCAGACCCCCTGCTGAGCAGGGAGCCCGATGTGGGACTCGATCCCGGGACTCCGGGATCATGACCTGAGCCGAAGGCAGTCGCTTAACCAACTGAGCCACCCAGGCGCCCAAGTAGCTTCATTCTTAAGCAAGTGAGAATAGATCCATCAAAGGATGAAGTTCTATATCTAACTCAATCTCATATGCCATGTTTTCTAAAGACAGCTTAATATACCGCTCTGGCCTAGAGTCCTGAAATGCTGACTACTAAAGCCAACAGTTAATTTCAAGGGCACCTGGGTGGCTCAGTCATTAAGCGTCTGCCTTCGGCTTAGGTCATGATCCCAGGGTCCCGGGATAGAGCCCCGCATCGGGCTCCCTGCTCCACAGGGAGCCTGCTTCTCCCTCTCCCACTCCCACTCTCCCTGCTTGTGTTCCCTCTCTCTCTCTCTCAAATAAATAAATAAAATCTTTAAAAAAAAAGTCAAACAGTTATAATACAGTGCATTAAAAAAACAATTTATACCCTCCATTTATCCCCAGTAACTTGTGAAGAAAATCGCCCAACTAAGCGCACCCTCATTGACACCTGCTGTCCCTGGCCCCAAGCCTGCATTCCCACCGCCTCGGAGCCACTGCAACCTGGCTGTGCAGCCACCACCACATGCCAAGCCGTGTGCGATGCAGCCAACCCGGTCCATTCAAAGGTTCCCACGTTGCTAAAGGCAACCACCACTCTTGGAGATTTGTGCTCCGCTGTGTTGGGGCCTTTTCTACACCTGCCTCTTCTCCCTATCATTGCCTTGCTTCTCAGTAAGACATTATTCCTGGAAACAGTTCCTCCTGCCCTTCCTGCTTCCCCAGCATCTGCACTCTCCCAGAATTAAGTTTCGAAACACAGGGTGGTCAGATCACTCTGCTGATGCTACACTTTGGGAGTGGGAGGAAGGAGATGTAGAACAGCAGCAACAAGGAGGAGAAAAACTACAGAACCGCATGTCACAGAAGCAAGAGGAGGAGGAAATTCCCCAGAGGAGTGACCAACATTTGGATGCGGTTAAGTTTCGCGAAAAAAGAGTTCAAGTCAGGCAAGAGTGGATGTTGTCTATTTCCCAAATGGCTTATACCTGGGACCTCATTCCCCAAAGATGCTAGTTACATGAGGCATTAAAGGATTTTCTTTGTCTAGCTTTATTCCCTAATTTTCAACTTCTGTTTCTTCCTACACAAGCACACCCCTTCAATGATGACAGGCTAAGGTGAAATCTACTCTCTCTTTTTTAAAAGATTTATTTGACACAGAGGGAGAGAGAGAGAGCGTACATGTGCATACGTTTGGGGAGGGGGGAGCACGAAAGGGAGAAGCAGGCTCCCCGCTGACTCTGGGATCATGACCTGAGCCTGACTTGAGCCGTGAGCCGAAGGCAGACACTTAATCAATTGAGCCACCCAGGTGCCCCTGAGATCTACTCTCTTAACTCTGGGAAGGCTGAGGGTTCTGCATGAACACAGACTCCCCAGTTTTGCATCACCTGAAACCCAGTGTCAGAAGGGAAGGGAGGTACAGTCGCCCTTTGCAGGACAAAGCCACCCTAGGAAAGATACATCCAAATGCATAAAGGGAATAAAAACTAATGCAATTAGTCCCGGGATCGAGTCCCACATCTGAGCAATCCCACAATTCTGAGCAATTTAAATGCTTATTTGCATTTAAAACAATTTCCAGTATAGTAAAATAACCCATTTTTGCCCCATGCTTTTCTTTTCTTAATTAAAAAAAACATCAAACCAATGCATGATACAGACTGAAAAGTCAAACAGTACCTCCAGGCCTTCTTACTTTGGTCAAGGCCCTTGTCGACTCATGCTGGGACTCTCAAGATGCTTTCCTGTTTATAGCCTCTCTCCAATTCTCCTTATACAGTGTTGTCAGGTTCATTTTCCCAAAACAAACTTTACTGAGCGGACTCAAAATTCTTATTTCAGCTCTCCCGGAAAATGTCTACATCTCTGGACAGGTGGTGGTGGTGGAATTTAAGGACACATATACTTTGGCAAAGCCAAACCTTTCCAAACTCAATGTCCACAACTTCCCTGTGAGCCCCAGCCACCCTGGGCAACTGATCTTTTTCCAGAAGATGCCTTGTACACCACACTATAAGGCCAAGACTTGTCACTCCATGCTTCCCCATCTCTTTTCCACTTAAAATTGATACTGGTATTTATGTTAAAAACACCAACTTTGGACTGTACCCACTGAGGAGATCTTAAATCTCCTTGTTGGGCCCAGTACTCGAAACTGCATAGGTTCAGTAAATATCCAGCTGACGAAAATAAAAGGCTCCTGATCTAGCCAGGGTATCATACTTTATACTCAGAAAAATACACTGCGTTGTGGCTTGATATGATAAACTTGGGCATACCACGAGTCTATCACTTCCCTTAGAGACATCATAATATGACCGGCTTATGGAAAAAACACCAATCCAGACTTTCAATCCCAACTTTATAAATGCCTACTTACTACCCTGCATTTTGGGCAATTACAAATACAGTTACAATCTAGACAGCATCTGACAGACATTACAATATTAAGACAAGGATGAAATTCAGAGGAATAAAGGAAAGAACACACAGGCCACAGGCTGGCGCAAAATGATTAATAAACTAGCAAAAGATAATCCGTCATCAACAGAAACCTTGTTTCTCTACAGTTTTATTTATTAACTAGCAAAAGAGAAGGATGGTGATAAGAAGGGGAATAAGGTCAATTCTGAGCTCATGTTTGAGAAACCATACCATTACCGTTACTTTTCATATCTTCAAAATTCCACAATAAAGTTAACAGCTACCACATGATAAGAAATAAACAAAAGCAACTTTACTTAGATGCATTTCAAACCAAAGAAAACCAAATTAACTCAGGAATTTTGAACTTAATGTGAAAGCAAGTTTTTCATGGAAGGCAGCTACTGTACTTCAAGACAAAGTCACTTTTATAAATTCAACAGAAATCTTCAAGAAATCATCCATAAATTTGGGGCTGTATTTTAAATATCTCCTTTACATACTACATCAAGGAAAATAAAACACAATGAAACTACAGAAAACAGAAATTCAGCTATAAATACACGAGTATGAGAATATGTCTGCGATTGAAGGGCTAACCTACAGTCTTTTTGAAATGTGTACATAAACTAATGCTGGGATCAGAACACATTACAAACCTACGCCTAAACAGGGAGGCAGTTAAAGTACAAAATGTTAATGATGATACTGAGGAAGGGCATTAAAAAAAAAAAAAAAAAGATGATAAAGCACTGCTTTTCTTTTCAAAAGAGATGTGGTTAGAACCTTTGTTGTCCATCACTTCTGAATGCCTATGACAGTAAGATCACCATCAAGTTGGTCACAACTTTCTTCCAAACTGAATTATTTAGAATAAGAGATGGGGGAGGGCAGTGAGTGGCTGGAAAAACTGAAATAACTTTCAAAGGGATGCAAATGTTATGTTTTGTCCACACGGCGGTCATACGAAGAAACTCAACGAGCACAAGGGTAGAAGAGGGGCAGTGCCCAGCCCCAGGGACTCGACCGCAAACCAGCGCGCTGCCGCCGAGACCCGGCTCCGCAGAAACTCTGCCATTCTTCCAGTTTTGTTTTAAGAGGCCTCGGCTGTTTGGGCAACAGTGAGAATCCTAACTTTGGGCCTAGTATTCTCTAGGAACCAATCTTTGACATTTCATCCAAAACAGTGATCAGGCACTGGGTTTAATGACTGTACTACATTTTTATTATGTGCCAGTTTCCATGGAAATGGGTGGCTTTTTAACATATCGTATAAACACATTTAGAAAAAGCGTAACACTCACTGACACCATGAAATGAGACTCAACGAACTGGAAGAACCGAAGAAGTACGACTGCAATGGTGCTCGGGCCACGCTCGACACGCAAGCAGGCGCGCTGACCGTCCAGCGGGAGTGCCGCGGTCGCGTGCCACTCTCGCCCGGTCGTCCTTCTCCTGCCTCGGTTCTGCTCCGCGCGGTGGGGGGGCCAGAGATGCTGGGCTCGCTAGAAATGCAGAGCCCTGGGTCCCACCCAGGCCCACCTTTTAGTGAGACCCCAGGGTGATTCAGAGGCACTGCAGGGTTTGAAAACACTAGTTTCGCCCCTGAGCGAAAGCAAGATAGCTGCTAAGCAACCACCCCTCCTTCCTTATCTCCTTGAGACCGTTATTAAAGCACTCTCCCTAATTTTCTTCCGGTGAAAAAGCTGGCCCCCGACTTTCCCCTCATATATCTTTTTTTTTTTTTTAAAGATTTTATTTATTTATTTGAGAGAGAGAGAATGAGAGAGAGCACATGAGAGGGGGGAGGGTCAGAGGGAGAAGCAGGCTCCTCGCCGAGCAGGGAGCCCGATGCGGGACTCCATCCCGGGACTCCAGGATCATGACCTGAGCTGAAGGCAGTCACTTAACCAAATGAGCCACCCAGGCGCCCTCCCCTCATATATCTTATTGCTGAGCTCATATTCACCTTTTGATATTTTTGTTTTTAAACTTTACTGAATCTTTTGAATCCTTTACTCTCCCTTAAGATACAGAAAGGAAGATGGGTACCATACCAGAACTCCGAGCTGTGCAATGCTATGACAAAAGTCTTACGTCTTGGAGTAGGACTCACTCTGAAACCTGTATTTTTTTAAAAAGATTTATTTATTTGAGAGAGAGAGAGAGAGAGAGAGAGAGAGAAAACATGAGTGGGGGGAGGGGCAGAAGGAGGAGGGAGAGAGAGAATCCCAAGCAGACTCACTGCTGTGCCTGGAGCCCAATGCGGGGCTCGGGGCTCGCTCTCATGACCCTGAGAGATCATGACCTGAGCTGAAACCAAGAGTCGGACGCTCAACCGACTGAGTCACCCAGGTGCCCCTGAAACCTGTCTTTTTAAAAAAATTTATTTATTTATTTGAGAGAGAGAAAGAGAGAGTGCGCATGGGCACGAGAGAGCATGAGCGGGGGAAGGGGCAGAGGGAGAGGTAGAAGCAGATTCCGCGCTGAGCAGAGAGCCCAATTCTATTCAGGGCTCTATCCCAGGACCCGGGCATCATGACCTGAGCTGAAGGCAGACGCTTAACCGACTGAGCCACCCAGGTGCCCTGAAACCTGTATTTTTAAAAAAACAAATAAGAAACTCTGAAAATGTACTCTACTTTTATGAAATTTCAGAAACCCTGTTGACTTTCATCATCTGTGAATTTGATAAGAATATTACGTTATTTTAAACTAGAATAATCTCCAATCACTGAGCCTTCAACTCCAACTCTTTATATATGAACCTCAAGGACAAACTGCTATAGTTTAAGTTTTCTAACAAGTTTGCTTCCTGGAAAACACCACAGGCATCCTTTAAGTTCCTACAGTGCCTTCTGGCTTAGGCTTCTATCTCTCTGCATAGGGTCTCTTTGCCCACCCAACCAGTCACGTGGTACTATCACCTAGGGCTCAAGGTCACCTGAGCAACATCTGCTTTCAGTGTGCTACTAAAAACAATGAGATTATGCATAGAACCTAACTGTGATATTGGCTCTGCAGGGAATAATGGAACTTCAAAGAGGCAAGCACATGTGCTCGCTTCGGCAGCACATATACAAAGAGGCAAGCACAGAACAAAACAAAGACCACCTATGAGCTAAAATTTGAGCATCCCGAGCCACTGGTGATAGGTGTGTTTTTATCCATAAAGCAATAAGAGAGCTGGGCTTTGGGCCAAAGTGAAATAAAAGGAGTTAACTTGAGGCTGCTGGACTGAACTAAGGGAACTTGGAGTAGACCCCCTCCTCTGGCAGAGAGTACTGCAAATTCGCTTTTAAGAAAAGTGTCCACAATGGCAAACCTAGGTGTTTCACTGGCCAAGATGCACTTACGAACTTCCAATGCAAGATTACCAAAATACTCAGGGAAATACGCCTTCATGAGTGAGAGCCAATATTGGATTTAGACCTCCTAAGAAATTTAGATATTGGAATTATCAGATAAAGAAATTCAGAAAAGAATGATGAGCGTAATGCTTAAAGATATAAAGATGGAACCACAAGAATAAGCAAACAATGAGACTGTGAAGAGCAGACCAGGCAAATAAAATTTTTAGAAATGAAAAACATGATTGGACTAAACGTAGCTGAAGAGATAATTAAGGAACTGGATAATAAATTATCCTGATGTAGTACTGAGAGATGAGGAGATAGGAAAATACACGGATTAAGAAAGTAGAACGGGGGCGCCTGGGTGGCTCAGTTGGTTAAGTGGCTGCCTTCGGCTCAGGTCATGATCCCAGGGTCCTGGGATTGAGTCCCACATCGGGCTCCCTGCTCCGCAGGAAGCCTGCTTCTCCCTCTCACACTCCCACTCCCTCTGCTTGTGTTCCCTCTCTCGCTGTGTCTCTCTCTGTCAAATAAATAAATAAAATCTTTTAAATAAAAAAAAAAAAAAAAGAAAGTAGAACGTATTTCGGGGGGGGGGAGGGGCAGAGGGAGAGGCAGAGGGAGAGAGAGAATCTTAAGCAGGCTCCTCGCCCAGTGCAGAGCCCAACACGGCGCTCGATCGCACAACCCTGAGATCATGACCTGAGCTGAAATTAAGAGTTGGACGCTTATCTGACTGAGTCACCCAAGTGCCCCGGGAGGGTAGAATTTTTAAAAATCCAGTGTAGGCAGAGAAGGTGTAACATGTCTAACGAGAACTCCAGAAGGAAAGAATAGAGAAAATGGAGGGGGGCAGTATATAAAGAGATAATGGCTATAAATTTTCCAGAACTGATGAAAAAACTCGCATCTACAGACTAAAAAAAGTACAGCGTATACCAAATACCAAGCAGTATAAATAAATCCACACCCAGACACATTGTAGTAAAGGTACAATACAGAAAATACAAAGAGTATTTCAAAAGCAGCTAGAGAGAAAAGACCCAGAAAGAAAAATTATTAGACTGCTAATCAGAACCAAAAAATCTCAATCAAACATGATCACATACCACTTCCTTTCTCAAAAAAATTTCAATGGCTTAATGAAAAAAGTCTGAATTCTTCAGAGTTTGGTATTTAAGACCTCCTATAAATCTATTACTAATCTCCTCTTCCTGCCAAATCTTCTCATATTGCCTTTACTAAACTGTTTTAAGTGGTAAAATATATGTCAACAGAAAACCAGACAATTCTCTGTTACCGTAAACACGGGTTGTTTCTGTAACATCCAGGCTCTGACTATGCTGTTTTTACCTGCTGGACTGGCTTCCTGCCATCGCTGCCTCCTGAATTACACCTTTTCTTAAAGACTCTGAACCTTCTCCAATCACTCCGGTGGGACAATCTCTCCCAATCTGTTTTATTTCTCTTATAGCATTTATAGTAATATACTACCTTATATTACAGTTATTAATGTATATCTTATTTTCCAACTAAATTATGACGTTTTAAAGACATGCCTTAGGTCTAACCTGATTTTTGGATTTCTCCCTCCCCTATACCCTCTGTCCAATAACTGATGATACAGTCTGAGTACATGAAAACTGGCCAGGACCAACTATTTAGGAGGAGAAGATTAACCTCTGGCAGAGGTCTAAAATAACTTAGAGAACTCGTCATGAACCACTCTTCTCTGGAATTTCCTGGGTGCTCAGGACTCACCTGTTTTGGCTGGCAAAAGATGCCTGGTCTATAGGCAGGATGCTTTCAGGCCACGGGGCAGTCTGATTTGGAGGAGCTTGTTGTTGGCTATACTGAGGTCCCCCCATGTTCATCTCTAATTCAGATGGCCCTAAAAAGAGAGAAGACAAAAATCCAAAAACTTTACAACTTGTCATCAGGGAAGTGCCTATTTCTACTATGTGATACAAAGTGAAATACCTGGTTTACATAAAATGAAAAAGACAGATGCAATAATAATTAGGTAAAAATAGTAAGACTGAATTTTTGTTCTGAAATAGAAACAAAGGCAATAAATATCAAGGCTTATCACCCACTTTAGGCAATATATACAGTGGCAGCTCTAAACTTTCTGCAATGAAGACTTTTTATAATCTCTTTTTTTGAGAGAGAGTAAGGGGGCGGGGTGGAGGGGCAGAGGGAGAGGGAGAGAATCTCAAGCAGATTGCCCACTGAGTACAGAGCCCATTGGGGGTGGGGTGGGTGGAGTGGGGGGCTCGATCTCATGACCCTGAGATCATGACCTGAGCCCAAATCAAGAGTCAGAGGCTTAACCGATGAGCCATCCAGGCACCCCAGCACCCTGACCTTTTAGTTTTGTTTATGCGGGTATACCTTATTGATACTTACTGTATGGGAAATTCACATTGGAAAGTAGAAAAAAACAATTATTCATTCACTTAAAATAATTACAATAAATCTGCTATGTGTTAACATAAACAAGCTCTTTTTTTTTTTTTTTAAAGATTTTATTTACTTATTTGACAGACAGAATGACAGAGCAAAGCAGGGGGCAGTGGCAGAGGAAGAGAGAGAAACAGACTCCCCGCAGAGCGGGGAGCCCCATGCGGGGCTCAATCCGAGGACCCTGAGATCACGACCTGAGCTGAAGGTAGACACTTAACTGAGCCACCCAGGCTCCTCTAAACAAGTTTTTTAAATAAGAAATGAAAAAAACCCTTTTACTGGCATTGTTTTAGATTTTTGAAAATCACTTTAATTAAGTCTGGATTGATAGAGGAGAGCCGGAGACTCCTACGTGCTCCTACATTCCACCTACGGTGATATCACACAGCATGTAACTTCCAGAACTCGACTGTACACTTGTGAGAGGTGAGAGTGAAGAAGGCCAGGAGTGTCTCAGGATTATTATGGAAATAGTTTAGCCTTACAGACCCCCTGGAAGGGCATCAGGGTCCTGGACCATACTTCTGAGAAGCGCTAGATCACTTGTTCCTAAACTTTTATCAACTGTAATTCAGTTAGCTCTTCCAGAAGAGAGAGGGTGGAACAGAAAGAAGGCCCAGACAACTCAGATGTGCTCTTAGAAGTTCTTTTTAGAGGTTTAAAGCTAATGGATGACACGAGCTTTTCAATGATTTTATTGTTATCACCATCTATACACCTGTCTTCCGTTAAAATAGGTAATTTTCTGTTGAGTTCAGGGCTTTTTTGAATTTATTAAAAATCAAGAGAAATTCACCTACACAATACACAGCTCAAAGGCCAGGTGAGGTCTCTTCAGTAAAGAAATACGGAGAATAAATTAAATTTCTGGATATAAGGGATTTATTAATTATGGTATTTATTTATTTATTTATTTATTTATTTATTTAGTATTTCAAGTAACCTCTATACCCAACATGGGGCTCAAGAGTGACATGCTCTACCGACTGAGCCAGCTAGGTGCCCCTTAATTATGATATTTTAATGAATGAATCAATACATTAAAAAATTTCTCAGCTTAATTTTGCATGAAAATCTGGTCATTTCTAGCACTGTTCCACAGAAGCCTCAAATTATATGAATTTATGTTTGGAAACCACTCATCAATTCGAAGTACATTCTCTGCAGAAAGGCTTTCTGAATGTCACCTCTCAGAAATAAGCCAAAAATGTGCTGAGCAATTACATAACTAGGTAGGAAAGCGGAGGCCAGAGGTAGGATGAGAATTCTGCGTTGTCTTGTCAAAACAATCCTGGTACCTTTCCGTTAATGATTTAGCTCTTACTCATTGTGCAATATCGAAGTATATGAAAAAGTACATAAACATTAACTTATCTGAATTATGCTAATGTGCAAGATTTAGAAGAAGGTTAATAGGTCGATGATTAAGAAAACAATCTCAAGTATGAGTTGTACAGACCATTAACATTTTTTTTTAAAATAACAGTTTTACCGAAATATAACTGACATGTCACACAATTCACCCATTTAAAGTATATGACTTAGGGGGTTTCAGTATATTTGCAGAGTTGTACAACCATTACGATAACCGGGTTTAGAATGTTCTTATTCCCCCCAAAAGAAACCCCATGACCACTAGGAGTCACTCCCCATGTCCCCCATACCCCAAGCCCTAGGCAACCACTTACCTACTACTTTCTTTCTCTACAGATTTGTCTGTTCTGGGCACTTCATACAAACGGTGTTGTATAATGTATCAGACCATTAATTTTAATAACATGTGAACTGTATCCAAATAGAATTTTAGCGATCCTCACATTTTGTGAGATGTTCTAAGACGACCTTGTACCTTCAGTGAGGACCCTGGAAAGTCTGGTTTAATAGTCTAGGATGGTGGCGCAAGAATCTGCGTCTTAATGTCCTGAGATGATTCTGATGATCACCCAGAGTTAGGAACCACTGCTGTAACATTGAAATGTTTTTAAAAAATATCATATGTATAACATTTATAGTGTGACACTCCAATTCACTCCCCCCAAAGGTTGAAATTAGATAATCTAATAAAAATAAAACACCACAAAGTAGTTGGTTCTTTAATGTAACTAGAAAGCTTTTCAGATTCTTTTTTTTTTTTTTTAAGGATTTTATTTATTTATTTGAGAGAGAGAATGAGATAGAGAGAGCATGAGAGGGGGGAGGGTCAGAGGGAGAAGCAGACTCCCTGCCGAGCAGGGAGCCCGATGCGGGACTCGATCCAGGGACTCCAGGATCATGACCTGAGCCGAAGGCAGTCGCTTAACCAACTGAGCCACCCAGGCGCCCGCTTTTCAGATTCTATGATTCTATAGAGTTCTAGCAAAATCTCCCTTATGATAGCTTGCCATGAGGGGCATCACCTAAACTGCAAATGAGGAGCGTATCTTGAAAGAACTTTTGGAACTGTTACTGTCTTCTAAGAAAGCATGGAGATTAAAAGTAAAGAGCGCTAGAGGGGCGCCTGGGTGGTTCTGCCGCCTTCGGCTCAGGTCATGATCCTGGCGTCCTGGGACTGAGTCCCACGTCGGGCTCCCTGCTCGGCGGGGGGTCTGCTTCTCTTTCTTCCTCTGCCCCTGCCCCCGCTTGTGCTCGCGTGCTCTCTCTCTCTCTCTCTGTCAGATAAATAAATAAATAAAATCTTAAAAAAAAGAGCACTAGAACTACCTTACCTAGATTCATGACCTGAGACGGAAGCATCTGTCTTTGGCCAGGCTGGCTGCTGGGTCTCATGGGGTTCCGAATCATGCCTCCTTGGACTGGCCGGCTCACAGCGCTGGTGGGAGCAGCACAGGTGACTCTCACGGCAGGACTCTGTGGTGCCCACTCCCCAGATGGCATCGTGGGCCGGGAAGCATTACCACCCACCATTCCTGCAGACAAGCCAGAGGAAACGGAGACATGGGGCAACTGAAAACATAGTCGGCACGGATGAACACCAGATGATCTCACTCTGTAGAAGACAATCATTCTGTAATACACAGTTGGCCCGATAGGTAACGCCCTCATTGGGACAGAAGCAGACCCCTGGCTAAGAAACAAGAGTTGGCAATTTCTACAGGTGCTCAAAGCACAGACTTGCCACTCTTCATAGTTCGGAAAAGCTGTTAAAATTGTTCCCACATGTACTTAGAAGCAGGTGCTGTGGTGTGTGGATAACCCCAACTTCCTTCCTCAGGAAGTGAATCACATTAGCTGATCTACACGTTAATGCTTTCCTTTCCAAAAGGGAGGTGAGGCTAAGAGAAACAAGGTTTAAACTGATAGTCAATACTCTGGTTATAAATCCAAATCACAGAATATCCCATGAAGCTGATGTCACATTTTTAAACCCTCAGCTCCCTTTCAGACTACTATAATTTGTTAAGCTTCTTTGGTAACCTCTAAAACATGAAGAAATTACAGGATCTTTCCACCACAGTTTTTTATATCCAAGGCAAGGGAACTCCTCCTCATAGTGTACTTCAATATACCTGGACCACCACATTCCTGATCATATAGATCAAAATGGGTTAGGGCAGATTGGTAAAATCTTTTTATACTTGAGATATTATCAGTTATTTGGCCACACTTAACAATAAGAGCACAATACTCCAAGCAGGACCAAGTGTTCGCTCTCTCTGGCCTGGCCCCTCAGGATGCTGACAATGGCCAAATATTGGCTAAGACTTGATATTCTAAAGGGGAAAAAAATCCAAGCGAGAACCCCGCATTTCGAAATGTTTAATGATGGATATATAAAAGTTTTGCTTTCATTATGGGGCGCCTGGGTGGTTCGGTCGGTTGAACATCTCCTTTTGGCTCAGGTCATGATCTTGGGGTCCTGGGATCAAGTCCCACGTTGGGTCCTTGCTCACTGGGGAGTCTGCTTCTCCCTCTGCCGCTCCCCACCACCACTCATGCTCTCTCTAATAAGTAAAATCTTAAAAAAAATAAAAGTTCTGTTTTCAAATAGATGGCTTGCTTTCATTTACTTTAATTACGATAACTAAAAATAGAGTATATTTAAGAAACGGAGAGAACATGTATTGCGGGTGGCTTTTCACTTGTGAAATGAGAATGTGCTACGTTAGGATGATAAGGAATAAAGGATAATTAATTTGACTGAAGAAGTCAGAACAATATTATAGTAATATATATTTTAAAAACCATTTGAAGATTAAATTTGAATTACACAAATGTATTATGGGAGAAAGGCATTTTATTTTTCCAAAAACCTGGTCTCTAAATAATATAACAAGATTACGGCAAGTCCAGAAAGCAGAAGGAAAAATGACCCACAATTCAACAACATTCCTGCAATTATAATAACTGGGGTCTCAATCTCTTTCAGGCTTTTTCTTTTTCTTTCTTGAAACAAAGCACAGGCACTGTATGATCTTTAGAGTCTGGACACCAGTGATCTCCAGGCTGCCCAGATTTGAAAACAGGTATACCCTAAATTCCTCCCTCCAAGACCTCTCCAAGAACTCAGAACTTCTTGTGTTCTCCTAATAAGGAGGCACTTTTAATAAGTCACTGGGGCTCCTATTCTGTTATAGAATGCTGCAGAAAGCAGTATTTTATTTATATAAATCAATACTTTATCTTAAATTATAAAATTAATATGGCCCTTATTTCTGTGAATACATAAAGTAGTGAAGTAGTGAGTGCCTGGCACATATGGTAGGCTATGCCCAATAAATATTTGTTGAAGGAATCAACGATTTTAATACAGCATGGTACACGCTTCCCCACGAATTGCTTGCTCATCAATACCCGAAAATAAATAAATCCAACTTTTCCCCTTAAACTGAATTCTCATTTTCAGCCAGCTGTCTAAAATGGCAATGTGCATAGAGATTCAAGACTAAGCTAAAAAAAAAAAAAAAGGAAAGAAAAAAACAAGAACAAATATAAATTCTTTTCATAATATCTATTTCTTTCAATGCCTTTTTCCTGAGTATTTCATTTTGTCAAAGGAAGAAGGCTGTAAATTGTGAGCAGTTCATTAGGAAACTCAGCATCCTGCTACTAGGTCTGTGATAAATAGATATTATAGGGTACAGGACGTGGTGGTAACAGCAATCACTGCTGCTCAGACGATTTCTAGCCTTAATTAGCTGGAAGTGCGGGAACGCGGTAGCTGTGATGACACTGAGTACCACTTAGCAAATGTGCAGGGGCAACTTGGCAGATACCTGAAGTCACAGCAAGTCAAGGTCCAAACCAGATCACAGGCAAAGTCATACATCTTCAAAAAGGGGGCCCTGGACCCGGGACTCTTAGACCAAGCCTATTACCATGTAAAGTTCTTTATTTTTAATTAACATTTTTCTGAAGAACTGTATCATTTATAAGTATGAAATGTTGGCTGAATTTTAAACTTTCATTCTGAAATTCTCCAAAAACAAATCATCAATTAATAGGAGGTTTTGGGATTATCAGCAGATTACAGGAGATGCCAGCAACCACCAAATCATTTTACACGTAACACTACAATGTCTAGAACAGTAAACTGCAAGAGAAGACATAAGCCTATGCTATAGGATTAATAATTAGAAATCCCGTAAAAGTAATGAGCACAGAATAAAATGGTCAGCTTACTGGAATGTTTCCCAATGCTTCACATGCCACTCTCCAGTCAAAGTTTGTAGAATTTTCTTACCTTCCAGTATTAGTTTCTAACATTAAAAAACATTCATTTGAAAAATTCTACTAGTCTGATGTGGATGAATACATCATTAAGTTAAATAACCCACCAATAAAGTAACAGTGCATTTGAGCCCTTACCTGTGCTACTGTTCCCTAAATTTCCTTGGTTTCCTATCATCCCTTGATTACCCATCATTCCTGGCTGAGGTATCACTGAGTAGGGACTACTGTTTCTGATTGGTGGGAAAGGTCCAGCACCAGTTGGGCTTTGCAATGTGATGTCAAGTGGTAAATTCTGGTTTGGCAATAACCTGCCCAGTTGCCCTGGTCGTGGGTTATTAAAAGCTAAGGAGAAAACAAATGAAAATTGAAGGTTAATATAGGATAATGGAAAAGAATAGCAACAGAAGCAGTGTTCAGGGAAAATGCTGTCTGTAAAATATCGAAGATATGCACATCAGGGACCAACTGCCTACGTAAAAGACAAACTCACAGACAAAAAAAAACAAAAACAAACCAAAATTTAATCAACAGGTCTCTTATTTAACTCTTAACAATCTTGCAAAAAGAGAGGAAAAAAACCCCCGTGTCTTTTACCATATAGTTTCCTCCCCAACACTAATTTCTAACATTTAATCATATTTGCTAAGTAAAACACTCGTATGGTCTTGTCCATACGTGCCATTATCGGAATTTAGGAGTCCTGCTTTGTCACAGCTATGAAGCTACGAACCTCTCCTGTATAGAGCCCCAAACCTAGACACACGTGGTCTGGACATAGAATTTCTTAACTGGACTTTCCTAGGAGTAGAATTAGGTTAGAAGTATCCATTTGCCTTGGAAGTTAAAATTTTTTAAGTGTGAACTCTGCCCCCGAAAGTCAGTACTAAAGATTTAGGGCCCTGTTTAATCTTCTAAATACAGCTTCTTTAAATGCCGGACACATTCAGATTTGAAAGGATTCTCGATGGTGGACTGACAGAATCCATGGTGGGGTGCGCACTGCACTGTACCATCACACAGACAACCAATAATTCGATGAGCACATTTTTAAATTTAAAAGTATACAGATACTATAAAGGACAGTTTATAGAGCTCCTTTATGAAATAGTATCAAGTATTTTGTTTTCACCGACTTACATAAGCATAGTATGAAACAGAACATTCAGAATAAGTAAGTTCTTAACAATTAATAACAGAAATAAAACATTTAGAAGAATTAGGGCTCGGAATGGGAATGGTGCATGCTTAATCATGATTCCCTCAGGTTTAGCTCTCTGGTTGGCACTCAACAATCTGACCACCATCAGGAGGTACAAATAGAGGAGAAAGCATGAGTCCCCATGCCACCCTTCATTAATGCCTCCGGTTAATGAGCATAAACTTCTCTAGTGTGCTTCTTACTCACTCCCTGACTCTTTGACTTTGTGATCGCCCATGGTCCGGAAGTACCTTCCATTCCTCGGGAAACACGAAGGTTTGAGAGATGATGACAAACACAAACTATTTGGTTTTACCCATTTCAGAATAATCAAGAATCACTTGAGAAAAGATCTAGTAATTAAAGATATTTTGTGATTTGGTTGATGATTGCCATTTCCAGTTTGAGAACAAATGCTAAGCACAGAATGAGACTGTACTTGACGAGGGAAAAATCATTCTGTTCATCAAGTTAACGCTAAGGACGTCATCTATCGTTCCATAAATTATGTCTCTGTACAGGAGAAGTATTTTCTTCCATTCAAAACTGTTGGACTACTTCAGGTAACTGAGTTTGTAAACTAAGTGATCCTGGTGAAGAAAGAATTCGTCTTAAGCTTAAAAAAATCTAAAATAAAAAGAATAAATGATAGAAAAAATGTATTTTCTAAAATAGTCTAAGGTCTTCCAGCTTTATACCAAATTAGTTAAAAGTGTACTTAGAAAACAAGTATGATAAAGTTCCATTCAAACTGATAATTAAAAGATTATTCCTAAGAGATAGGCTATTTTTAATGTGTGTAGCCTGTTCACGTATTATGATTAAATATTAAGAATTTTTAATAGCATTTTATTCCTAAAAAGTCAGCCTAACTTTATAATTTTCTATATTTAAAGTATCCACTTATATACTCAAACACATAAAGTCTATTTTAAACCCCATTTCTGAAGGCAGTAGCAAAAATAAAGGGAAACATGACAACCATCCAAAGAACTTTATCTATGTAGGTCAGTCTCACTGCAAATTGATTAAATTAACCCCCAGAGAATGCTGGAAAGCCATGTTCAAGAGTCCATTTTGAATGGTGTTTTGAAGAACCAAGACAGTAGATGGCGCTATTTGATCACAAAAACCTTGAAGTGACTAAGCTGTTTGTATCAGATTTTAATAATCACTGTTTCTAATGGTGATTATATGGGAATTTCTTGGCATAACCATCAATATCTCATACTCACTGCTCTGTGAAATTCGCAATGCTGTTTTCTGGGCTCCAACAGGTGTAACAGGACTGTTTTCAGCTGTGAGTTGCATGAGGTCATTGATGATGGCTTGCTTGTCAACTGATCCAGCAGGGGCGCCTGGCCGCGTGTCTGGGAAAAGCTGTGGTAATTGACTATTCTGCAAATCATCCAAAATCTCCTCCAAGTTGTCCAGCTCACTGCCAGGCTGCAGTTAACAAACACAAGAGTTTATCCAGTCCCACCCTGAGAGTGGGCCCCACAGCCCCATCTGCAGTTACAGACCCAACAGGCACGAGGCACCAGCACAACCACACAAAGGATGCAGACACACACGCAGACCTCGGGCCTAACAAGGGAATTGATCAGCTTTTAAAAATTTAAACTGACAAAGGCCAAATAACTTAATCCCTTCGTCCTCTATTTCCTCATCTAGAAAAAGAGCTCTCTTCCAGTGCTGATTCATTGGCAATGTATAAATTCCCCTTTATGTATGCTAATAATTCAATCAGTCATGAGTATGTATATTTCTAATTAACTCTGAGTGTACTAGGACTTATGGTCCAGGTCTAGGTTTTGTGGTTAACTCTAAGAAATAACAACAACAAAAAACTGGTTCAAAAAAAAAAATATGATCCAAATTTACACTACATCAGTGTTTTGTAGGTGGTCATTTCCTTCCAGGATTTCTTTTTTTAAGAGCAGGGGGTAAAACGCAAAATAAGCGCAAAATAAGCTCAAAGTCACCATGAATAGTTAAGCACTGCCTTTTCGATTTGACTGGTGTTTTTTTTCCTGCTTGCACTTTCAGTTTCAAATGACACTGGCTTTCTCAGTCAGTCACCAGCTTAGGTGACAAAATGTAGGGAAGCAGGATAAAAACATGGTGTCCCATACACAGCATCTATTAACCTGACTTCACAGAAGGCAGAACAGTGTTTCTTAGGGCTTTTCCTTCTACTGAAGTCATTTCATTTCAATTACCAACATCAAAATAGTAAGGTGAATATCACCACTATCTCACACCTACTACTTTTCTTCCAGAAAGCTCAACTTATTTTATATTCTTTTAAGTAGAACCTATCAGGCAGTGCTAACCACACAAGAAAATGGAGAAGTTAAATGTCAGCAGTAGTTTCTAATGAAGAAAGTGGTAAGAATGATCTCTTGGATGTGTAGGTGGAAACACAGAAGCTAGGTAATTCCCTCAAAGTCACTGGATGGACTCTGAATCCTTGACCATGACTAGACATTTTATTGACACAGGGCATTCAAATGAAATTGTTTACATCCGATAGGAGGTAATACTTGGAGCAAAATGGCTCACAGTTTTATTCTATATACAACTCCTATTCCCCAGGCAGAGGTTGGATTTACTAAGGTTTTTGCAATTTATGGCATATGTAGTATCTGTATGGGAAGTCTTACTGGACATATTTCTCAAGTTGGGAAAGATAAACTGAAGTGACATTTTATTTCATTCCTTCTTCAGAGTCAACTAGCTTAGTAATAACCTGGAGATCAACTTTCTAGGAAATTCCCAGTGTGTTGTTGGGGCAATTACAAGACCATTTTCTAGTTTAGTTTAGCCACGCATTTCTAACAAAAGACGGAGGCATCAAATATTGGAAAGATATATCTTAGGTAAGGCTTCCAAAGTTAGCATCCTAAAGTATAGACAGACACAAATGATCCTTGGGGAGACACCTCACTGCACACCTACGTCCCCTCCAAGGGCAACACAGTCAGGTTCTCCTCCGGAGAGGAAGCACACTGCTGTTTTGTTGCTGAGTCCTAAATGACGTAGTGTGTAATGTGTGCAGGGGCTGTGCTGCATTTAAAAAACATGTAGCTACATGTTCACACTGTTAGAGCCATAGGAGAACCCACACCCAGTAATCTCTTGTCATCCATCTCATGATCATTCTGCTAGGGTACATACTTATGGGGTAAAATGGTGGGCGGAACTGCTCACACTACTTAACCACTTCGTAGCTGCCCCTTCCTTTCTTCTGAACGTGTATAGATGATTTTGTGTAAGTTAAATGTACATGTAAAGTGACTCCATTGTAAGTCTATCTTTATCATGTTTTGTTGAATACAAAAGGATAAACATCAGTATGAACATTTATTGTCCTCCAAGGACAGTTCCTGGAACACAGTCATGGACACTCAGTCAATTGGATGAATTCCTTTAACCATATTAACCTGTGATTTAAGAAAATTTCCCAGGATCAACTAAATTTCTCATAGAAATTCCTGTAATTTCCATTATTTTCTCAGAAAAATATTTCATACAAATGTGTGATAAATATCCTTGTAACTGTGTCATTAAAATAACTATAGAGATAAGAAAGAGGTTCTCTAATAAACTGAAGTTTATTGCTGTCCTATGAAACCAGGTTTCCCTACTATGCTGCTGCCTTGTGTAGAGTATTTTATTTATTTATTTATTTAAAAGATTTTATTTATTTGACAGAGAGAGACACAGCCAGAGAGGGAACACAAGCAGGGGGAGTGGGAGAGGGAGAAGCAGGCTTCCCACTGAGCAGAGAGCCCGATGCGGGGCTCGATCCCAGGACCCTGGGATCATGACCTGAGCCGAAGGCAGACGCCCAACAACTGAGCCACCCAGGCGCCCCTAGAGTATTTTAAAAAGTGGTCCTTGAAGCTCATTGTGTGTGTGTGGGGGTGGTGGTGGGAAGAGTAGGGGGTGAGGGAGGAGGAAGGAAGGGTGAATAAGTAAAGTAGTAAGTTGCTTCTTGAGAAAGCTTTGCAGATTGCCTTGGATGAGAAACAGCCAAAAATAAATAGGTTCATATAAACAGTAATAAATATAAAGTATATTATTATCCTCAGTGGATGCTCTTATACTTGCCCCCAATCCCAGATATGTGTAGAAGAAAGTTTTTACAGTGTAGATTAACAACAGCCTATGTCTAGACTCCTATCTTTCCTTTACCTTTATTCTTTTCACCCAAATAAAATTATACTTTAAACCACGTCCATCAAACAGAAAAATAACTATCATCATAGTTTCAAAGAGTTCTAACGACAAAATTCATGATTCTTCCTATGTAATCTACTCTTGTGTCTAATATAATGAGTTGAAAATAAGTCTAACATTATACGTATAAAATGTTAAAATATATTTGGATGGCTGGGTCGCCTGGGTGGCTCAGTAGGTTAAGTGTCCGCATTCAGCTCAGGTCATGATCCCAGAGTCCTGGGATCGAGCCCCGCGTCTGGCTCCCCGCTCAGCAGGGAGTCTGCTTGTCCTTCTCCCTCTGCTCCTTCCCCTCCCGCTTGTGCTCTCTCTCTCAAATAAAATCTAATATATATGTGTGTGCATGTGTTATTTGGATGGTTTAAATCAATTTATTGGTTTTTTAATTTCGAATAATTAGAAAATTTAAAATCCAGTATTTTCCTTGGTTGATTTTTATTTCTAAAAAGCATGTATTAAAAACTCATTTTCAAGTTTTAATCTCTGCCATTTTAAGAGCCAACCAAATTCAACTGTGGATCAGTCTAGTTCTGACAATTAACTAAACACTTTTTGGGGGGGCCTGGGTGGCTCAGTCACTAAGTGTCTGCCTTCGGCTCAGGTCATGATCCCAGGGTCCTGGGATTGATCCCGCATCGGGCTCCCTGCCCAGCGGGGAGTCTGTTCCTCCCTCTGACCCTCCCCCCAACCCCCCCGCTCCTGCTTTCTCTCTCTCTCTCAAATAAATAAAATCTTTAAATAAAAAAAAAAAAACAAAAAAAACTGAACACTTTTTTGTCTTAAGAAAGCCATGTAGGAACTTCTTGGTTTCATAGTCAAAAGAAATTGGTTCTTTGGATCCCCATAACTATGGACATTATTCGAATTCATTCAGTTTGCCATCAGAAGAATACATTATATAATTTTCCCCACTGGAGATAATATTGTTTTGCTTGTGCTTATTTCTTGTTAATTTTTGGAGTACACATTTAACATTCCTCTAATTGTCTTAAGCATACTTTAAATGTTCTTCATCAAAGACGTAAAATTCAGAATGTCTACTATAACCCCTTCAGCTGTTTGGCAATAAAATCTGATGATTATGGCATTTTTTTCTGTAGTTACGTAAGTTTTGGAAGGGATAGATTTGATCACATTAAGTTTCTGATCAAATATCCCCTTCCCCCCTAAATTTTTTTAAGCTTTAATTCTCACCAAAAGTTCTCCTAGTCCATGTCTACTTTTTTTTTTTTTTTTTAAGATTTTATTTATTTATTTGACAGAGAGAGAGATAGTGAGAGCAGGAACACAAGCCAGGGGAGTGGGAGAGGGAGAAGTAGGCTTCCCGCTGAGCAGGGAGCCCGATGCGCGGCTCGATCCCAGGACGACCCTGGGATCAGTGCCTGAGCCGAAGGCAGACGCTTAACTAATGAGCCACCCAGGCGCCCCAGTCCATGTCTACTTTGTTAGGCATTTCTTCACAAGACAAAAAGATTAATGCCTTCCTTTAAAATGCTTTGCCAAGATTCTTCAAAGTTTTGCTTAGGCATCTATTCGAATGCTCAAATTAGCCACATCAATTTGAATAGTTAGTTTAAACTATTTCGGGCAGAAAATGAGTCAGAAAGATTTTTATAAAAGTTCTACAAAATGAAAATTGGACTTGATTTCTTTAATTTTTCATTTTTCTGGTTTTATGAATTTTTCATGTGTCAAATCAACTTGTTCTCTGAAGGAAATATAAAGAGCACAGGCATTTTAATAACATAAGTGTCTTAATAAGTTACAAAACATTTTTTCAGAAATTTAAATAAAAAGTGTAATTTTACCACATTTGCCTAACATAAAATTGTTAAAAAAAAAAAAAGGTAGGGCGCCTGGGTGGCTCAGTTGGTTAAGCGACTGCCTTCGGCTCAGGTCATGATCCTGGAGTCCCTGGATCGAGTCCCGCATCGGGCTCCCTGCTCGGCGGGGAGTCTGCTTCTGACCCTCCCCCCTCTCATGTGCTTGCTCTCTCTCTCATATAAATAAATAAAATCTTTAAAAAAAAAAAAAAGGTAAAATTGTTAGAAGATGGTAATACAATTCTATCACATTTGGTGGGAAATTTTCAGGACATTGCCAGTTTAAAATATGGTTTGCCTTTCTGGTGGAGGTAAATAGCAAGATGTTCCTTTTAGACTAGCTCTAAGCCGTCATTATAACTGGCCCAGTAGCGTTAGAAAGAACCTAAGACTATCAACATGCTCCACTGGGTAAGTAAGTATGTAACTTGAAAGTCTGTAAACATATTGGAAATTTTTCAGTCGCTGCTTCCTGTTGGTGACGAAATGCCGTAGAAACAACTGTTGTTTAAATACTCTACCCAGTAAAGAATGCTATTTTAGGTATAATAGCACCATCGAAGTACTTCCTGTCCTTAGTAAGTTGTAGGTAAGTTAAACACACACTTGGTTAATGGCTCTTTTCTGAGTCAAAATAACAAGCCCGTTGAGTGCATAATTCAGGCTCCCTAACAGTTTATCTTATTAAATAAAAAACTTGTATTCCTCTGAAATGAAAGAAAAAAACTTTAACAAACCGGTAGAGCAGTTAAAAGGAGATACAATTAATCTGTTTTGGGAATAGTGAAGGCAAGCAGGAGGCAAAAGAATCACTGTTTTTTCCTTAAAGTAAGTCACTCTAACTTTGATCTAAATTTAGGTAATGCATACTTCCTGTGGTAACTTTTCAAGTTGCAATGTTTTCAATGTTAAGTTTGCTCTGAAGCAGTATTTTTTGGCAGAGTTTTATTTTTAACTGGGAGTGAATGGAGGGTGAGACCAGGGACTGGGTTTCATTAAGAAAAAAAATTGTGTGTGTGTGTACACACTGCTTTTTGGTCCCAAAATCACAGATTTGTGCTGATGTTCCCTAGGTAAGATGACTTTGATTAGAAAAACGTGTCTCCTAAACAACAATCAGAAACGGCAAGTGACTCAAGGACTTAAAAAATTCTTTTTTTTGGTCAGTTTCTTGTCTGAAGTTAGCATCATCACACACTAAATATAGACATGCCAAACAGTGTCCCCCTTCCCTGACCCTCTAAGTCCCTAGGGCCTCAGGCCTGGGATAGAAATAAATTCTGTGTATGGAGGGAGGGGCCAGCCACTTAGCCACTGAGCTAAGGTGGCCCTCATGAGTCACCATCTTGCACTCTAGCATGTGTTAGGGAGACGTGAGTGACAGTATCTGTGCCTGCCACTTGCTCTGTATATTCTAATCTAGTAAACCTCAAAAGATGAAAACATTGACAGTCATCAATACAGTTTCACCCTACACTTGATCCAAGGTATTGCTACTAACTTTCTGCTGAAAGAAACTGAGTTTCCCCCACTTACTGATTTTACAGCATTACAGAATAGCTGTATTGTCGAACCCTGCACTAACATCTAAGTTCTAAGGTTAATTATCAAAGATGATTATAGAATTAGGATGTTTCCCTGGTGAAGGGCATGGAGGTTTAAAAAAATCATCTCTCTCTTATAGGAATACAGCATCTGCCAAGACATCAAAGTGAAAGAAATGAAGGAAGCTAAGTAAGTGCTTAGAAGGGCGGATGGAGCCCAGCTCTATGGGGCGAGTGTGTTTGGCATCAGGCTTCCTGATTCCTGCTTTCAATCCTAGCCCTGCCCCTGGGCCAACCTCGGCTGACTCAGCAGAGTTCAAGTATAGCAAGGGAGTGCTGCTCTCTTCTCTCCCCATCCACACCTAGTCCCCCAAGACAGTGACACATAAACTCTCCACTTGCAAAACAAATTTCAAGACAAATTAGTGAACCATTTTAAGTAGAAAGGCCAATGCGGCTTCTTCACTTGTTAACCAATGTGGACTTAAAAGATTTGAAGTCCAGGCCTGTTCCCAGGGATTAGAGAGGGAGTTGATAATGCAGGGTGAAGTTTTGGATCATTAACTCAGCCCGTCACTGAGTCCCCAGGAAACATCTTATGCCAAACCATTATGTCAGAAATAACGCTCAAAAAAAAAAGAAAGAAAGAAAAGAAAAGAATTCTTTAACATGAACCAGAAGGTTCGGTTGATGATAGAGGGCGCGATGGTCTTCATTAGGTTTGAAAACCAAACTCTGATCTTAAAGAGAGAGAAAGGTAAATGGGAAATAATTTAATGAAGTCTGTCCTGACAAAGCCAGTTTCAAGGAAGTGATTATCTCCAATTTAGGCATCTTCTATTAACAGGGTCAGCAAACTACAGCTGGCCTGTAGGCTAAATCCTGCCCACCACCTGTTTTCCTATGGCCCCGAGCTAAGAAGGAATTTACATTTTTTAATAATTGAAAAAAAAAATCAAAAGAAGAGCATTTTGTGACACACAAAAACTGTATAAAATCCAAATATCAGTGGCTGTCAGTAAAGTTTTATTAGAACACAGCGCTCTCATTTGTCTGCATAGTGTCTATGGCCGTTTTTGGACCACAGTGGCAGAGACTGGTCCGTAGAGCCTAAAATACTCACCACTTGGCCCTTTCCAGGAAAAAAAAAAAAAAAGTCAGCCTTCCCCTGGTGGATGAAAGTGTCACTTGTTCCTAGACAGGAGTATTTGGAACAGGGAGCTTCAGTGAGAATTAACTCTGTCTCCAAGTAAGAACAACAAAGGAGAAGGCTTATTTTTATCCCTTCACCTGAGGCCTCCAAATGCCCCTGTGAAAATCCTTGATGGATATGGATTAGTATACCTGAGAGAACACATTACACAACTTACCTGCTCACTAGGCTCAAAGCTCATCTCCTCCTTCTCAGTTTTCATAGCTATTAATTTTGTGTTACTGGCAGGGTCTGTCTTACTGTCCAGTCGCTCAAGTTTGGGGGTCATTTCTGGTAAACCAATATCTTTAGTATCATCTTTATCTAGCAAGTAGCGAAGTAGTGCATTCTCTTTCTTCTTGGGGCTCACTGGCTCTTGTTTAATAGTCACTTCTGAGCCGGGAGCCGTGCTGTTGGCCTCCTGGCTCAGCTCTTTGCCTGTGGCTTCTGCTGTTAACTTAGCCAAGTCCACAGGGGAGCTGCTGTCCTGCAAGAGTCTGTGCAAAATCTTATGCTTCTCCTTGAGCGAGGTTCCATGCGTCGAGCCAGGACCAGGCAGGCTCGCTGTGGAGTCCTTGTTTGTGTCCGACAGGGAGCTGGGTAAGGGCGAGGGCTCCATCTGGTCCGATTTGGTGGTCAACAGCTGCAGGAGTTTGGTCTGTCCTTTGCTGTCATGCAGCCGATTCTGTGCATCAGCTCTCTCACCGCTCACAGCCTGGGGCATGCTGGAATCGTCCGTCTCCTTCTGCTCTCCGGGACGGCAGCTGCTCTCTGCTTGACCAGTTGTACCTTCAGCCGGCTCCCCATAAAGCCCGAAACAGTCTTTGGAGTCTAAGCTCCCCATCTTGCTGAGTGGGGGAGGGTTCATATTAACGGGGGAGTTTTGCAAATTGCCCAGTTTCAGGTCTGGTGAAGCCAGCGACGACCCTAGTGAGACCCCGTGCCCCTCGCTGAGGGCCTGAAGTGCGTTGAGGGAACTGTTGGTGTAGCTATGGCTATTTCCTGTGCTGCTGCAAACTCCCACAGGGGAATGCAAGCTTCCTGCGGGCGAAAACTGGCTGGGTGGGATTCGAGGGCTGCCGGCCACTCCGGGGCTCATGCGATGCCGCGGGGAAAGCATGGAGTTGGGCTGTCCTGGATTCATGCCAGGGCTGCTCTGGGAGGGACTGTTCATTTTGAGTGCATAGTTACTACCCTGAGGAGTGGTTGCTTGCATGCTTGACACATGGTTCATTCCCCCGGAACCACCAAACCTGCCCATGGGCATGCCCATTTGCTCCTTTGGGCCATTGATGGGAAAATTTATATTGCTACCAAGGGTCATGTCCTGACCTGGGTTCCCACTGCACATGGCCTGATGGGCAGGGCTGCTAGAGCTAAGTGGATTCAGTGGCTTCCCCATCGCTTGTCCCGTCAGATCTGGATTCATGACACACACATTCTGCTCTCTGTACAATGAGGAAAGAAATATAAAAGGAAACACATTTAGCAAGTTGTTATTAATTTTAAAAAAATGAGGTGGCCTCTTTTCTTTAAAAGAACAGACTACATTTAAAGGACAGATAATACTTGGATGAAACAATCTGCAATTATGGACAAGACTAAGCACGCATAATTTTGGACCAAGAGGGATGTTTTTCAGTCAACTCATTAAGATGTCTGCGGTTTTACAGAGGAGGTGTCTTTAAATGTGACTGCTACTGGACTGAAATTGTAGTTACCAGACAAGACATTAGAGGGGTTCCAATTACATAATACTATCTTTCTCATTACATGGTATATTATCATGAATAACTGAGAACTTGTACCATCTTAAAGGAAGGACCCTAACAAGCAGAGCTGTCTTCAATTATTTGCCGGATCACAATTCCTAACAAGAGACCCATCTGTAAGCCCAGAGAGCTCTGAGGTCTACTAGGCTCAAGACGGATAGCAAACTCAGCGGGGAAAGGGGGGAACTCGCCCCTAACTAGTAGAGACTCCGCAAGTTCTAGAGCCAGTAAAGGTATCAAAAGTATTTAGAACTAGATCACCTTGTCTAACAGATCCCCTTGCAGGTCAAAGCGAGAGCCTCCAAAACAGACAACATGGGACGGAACTTCAGAGTGACCTTGCTCTGTGATCTTATTCCCCAACGCCCAGACAACTTCAATCCACTCCCTTACTGGTGACTAAAAGCAGGTTTTCCAGGCTAAATGATTTTCCAAGCCCTATGAGCTTTAATTTACAGCCTTGGCAGTCACTTGTGAGTTACCACATGTGTTCCCAAATCCAAACAAAACAGGTTTCACAAATTGTCAAACATCAGCTTTCACTTAGGGGGGTGAAATTTGGCACATCTGTAATCACTTTCAAATTGTTTCAGTTTGAGGTCAGATTTATTAACAGTTGGCAAACAGGGATGCCTGATTTTTTTTTATTCCTAAATAAGAAAGTATATAATGGAGAAATGTAAGAAAAGAGGATTCTTTAACCAGAGCAACTTTATATATCTTCTGATAGTACCTCATAAAGTTTTATATAGCACATACATACATATTTACATAACTCGAAATATAATCATTTTCCTAAATTTGTGCTCTAAAACAGTATAGTTTATGACATTTGTTTTAAAATCAGCATTCAATTTTCTGTACTGTCATTTTTTAATGGAAATGTTTATTAGCTTTCAATCGAAAGGCCAAAATCCAGAAGTTAATTTAAACCCGAGGAGGGGGGAAAACCTAAAATACTCCCTCTAAGTATAATATATTTGGAAGTTTCAGATTTCCACGCCCAGGAGCAGAAGTCCTGTTAGCGGCTTCACTATTTCTGCACCGCATGCGTCACCCCTGGGAACGGACCGACTTCCCTTCTCCGGTATGACAGGCGGTCCTGTCGGAGCAAAGTGAGCGCTAGCCCGTGCCCTTCCAGCTGGGTTTTAAAATTCACTAGTGGTAAGGCACAGATTCGGAGTATAGTCTACTTTGCCGGTATCGTAAGTTGTCCGTTGGCCAAAAGTTCATAGCAACTTAATTTTGTATTCTACCTGCCTGGGGCTGATGAACAGAGATGTCTCACAAGGCTGAAAAGCTCTAGGGGGGGATCTATTGCTTTCGAACCATTTCCTCCTGATTTGGGGAAGGGAAAATGACTTCTTAGAACGGGGATTACCTGTGAAGCATATGTAACGATATTACAAGCTGAGGTTCATTAGTAGTCTGAGAACGGATGAGTTTGCTCTTCGTTTGTGCAGCAACAAGAGTGCCGTCGGACAAGGAAAAACGATAGATCTGACTGAACGCCAATCCTTGTCTCAGCACTGTAGGCAAGCAGGGAAAGAGAATGCACGTTTAGGAAAAAAAAATCTGAGAGTGGGGGCGGGAGAAGACATACTAATAGTAATAAACTTCATCTTGCCATTTTCCTACCAGCACGTTAACAAGAGTTGTAAGTACTATTTCATGATATTGAAACTTTTTAACATTTTAAAAGCACGCTCATTTTTTACTCAAAATACTAACAAATTCAATATATTGTTTTGTTTTGTTTAAATAAGGCTTGGACCCTCGAACTATGTTCTTTTTAAAATCTTCAGTACCACGATGAAAGAGTGTAAACCATTTGTTGGCTCAGAACTAGTTTTACAAAGATTTGTTTAAAATATCAGAAAACAATACAATGCATAAACATGATACTTTTAAAGTATACAATTTGCCTTTAACTTCCTTTTAAACTAATAAAAATATTACAGTAAAATTTATGACATTAAATATATTCTCTGAATAGTCATCTTTTCATCTTGAAGTATCTCATAATACTATCACCCATTCTGTTTCTCAGTGTGTAAGAAGTGTTATTTCTGTGGATAGGACAACAGGAAGTAAAAGATAAACAGAAAAATCTTTTCAGAAGAGAAAAAAGGCTAAATAGAAAACTGAAACAATAAAAGTGGAATTGGTTTAATTTCTGGATAAAGAATCTGGTGTTTCCATTTTCAAGACAACAGAAGAAAATATAACAAATCAACTAGGTTAAAATAATTTCTCTTAAAATTTCAGATTTATCTTTTAAAACAACTATATTTTAAAGCTTTCAAATACCACCTATTTAAAAAGAACACTTTTTTTTTTAAGATTTTATTTATTTATTTGAGAGAGAGAATGAGAGAGAGCACATGAGGGGGGGAGGGCCAGAGGGAGAAGCAGACTCCCTGCTGAGCAGGGAGCCCGATGTGGGACTCGATCCAGGGACTCCAGGATCATGACCTGAGCCGAAGGCAGTCGCTTAACCAACTGAGCCACCCAGGCGCCCAAGAACACTCTTTTTAAAAAGAACATTTTGATTCAGAAAAAAAGTAGTCATATAATTTGGTTACCCTCTTAAACCACTTTAAGAAGACTACAATGTTTTTATCACATAATCCTCTCTATATATGTTGTGGATTGAATAGCTAGCCCCATGAATAGCCAGATCGAGCACATTCATGATTCCACAAAATTGCCACAAGTGAGTGAGGGAGGGAGGGAGGGAGTCACTGACACACAACATGGATTCTGGTTTTTCTTTAAAAAAGTTCACTTCGAGCAATTTCCCTTATGAAACCCCCTCTGCAGTTTCAGTTACATGCAGTATTTAGGTATTTCTGCCATCAACTGTTACATGAAGTTACTCAGGAGTGGCAGTCCTGGAAATGAATTACTGTACGTCTCTGTATCTTGCTTTGCACAATGAGTAGGTTCCTATAAAGCAGAATGAATACAGTATTTATAATGGGATTCCCAATTTGAATAGCTTACAATTTTGGAATTTCATCTGTGATCAGTTAAGATTTTCTATTTCCATTTAATTAGATATGTTTAAGCATGCACCTGAATTCATTTAGGAAGCTCTTCCATTTAAACACAAACTTTTAGATTTTTTACTCAATGTGATTGGTTATCTTTGATCTTACCTACTTCACACATTTGGATGCAGGGTATTTCATACATTTTGTAGTTTCCCTTCAGTGGGTCTGGTCTGTTTAAGCCTACCACAGTGCCTGATACATTTCTATAAACCCTTTTTTGTAAGGAATCAGGAAGCCACAGAATTGAGTGTAGGGCACTGCTACTCAGGGTTCAAGGACACTGAACATGTTTGCTCACGGTGATTTCTTATTCATATTTCTAATTCTTACTATTTTTTATTTTATTGTTTTTAAAAAGAATTTTTATTTATTTGAGCGAGAGAGAGGGCACAAGCGGGGGGAAAGGCAGGGAGAGGGAGAAGAGACTCCTCACTGAGTTTGGCTTGATTCCACAACCCTGAGATCATGACCTGAGTCAGATGCTTAATCAACTGAGACACCTAGGCGCCCCTGTTGTTACTATTTCTTTTTCTTGGAAGATTTATTTGAGAGAGAGGGAGAGAGGTGGGGAGGGGCAGAGGGAGAGGGATAGAGAATCTTAAGCAGGCTCCACGTCCGGCACAGCACGGAGTCGGGCTCCAGGCTCAATATCATGACCCTGAGGATCATGACCTGAGCCAAAATCAAGAGTTGGAGGCTTAACCAACTGAGTCCCCCAGGCACCCCCATTGTTACTATTTTTTAAATTTTAAACCAGATCTAGTGAAATAGTAAGTTAAATACTGATTTCTGCCAAATATAGACTCTTAACTTCCTCTTATTCTTTCCAACTTAGAGAAAAATGCTGAAAGGAACAAATTGCTGGATTATGTACTTACTTCTAAGAAGGATAAATAAGATGAAAAAGAGGAATAAGATGAGAAAAAAAGAAGGGCATGGGGAGGGAGGTCATCTACTATGATTTGTACTTTTTCATAGGCAATCTTAAAGCACAGAGTTTATGCATACAAACACTACTGGTAAAATGCTAAGGTCATAGATGCACATTAAATGGAAGATGACAGGCTAAACCTCTGTTTTCAATGAGGAGTTAGGACTTTTTTCTGCCAAAATGCAGACAATTTGCCAAACCGAGTCACAGGGCACACTCTGCTGGCCCACAGGCATCACAGCCCCTCCCTGGAGAATCCAGGCCTCCTAACCAGGTGCACCCTGCCAGGACATACAGTGTCCTGTATGAGAGGAGGACCAAAAGACCAGGAGAAGAAGTGTCTCTCTCCCCCACTTAGTTCTTTTTTTTTTTTTTTTTTTTTTATTTATTTTTGAGAGAGAGAAAATGAGAGAGAGAGAGAAAATGAGAGGGGTAAGGGTCAAAGGGAGAAGCAGACTCCCTGCTAAGCAGGGAGCCCGATGCAGGACTCAATCCCAGGACTCTAGGATCATGACCTGAGCCGAAGGCAGTCGCTTAACCAACTGAGCCACCCAGGCGCCTCCCCCACTTAGTTCTTAATAAGTGCTAAGGAAGGCAGTTTTTCTTCGTTCTCACCAATATAACAAAAAACCAGAACGCACTTGAGGAAATGTGATTCTGTGCAAAGCACAGCAGAGGGACGGCCAGGATGTGCCTCCGATTAAACTCCAGTGCTGACAAGCCAGTCATTTCACCTGCTTCTGCCTCCTCATCTATAGCTCGAGTCCTAACACCTACCTCACAGGTGCGTTGAGGATCAACAAGATACTGTAGAGAAGGAAGATGCTGGACAAAGACCAGGTGCTCTGTAAGGGTGTTATTACTACTGACCTAGGACTTCGAAGTTCTGGGTTTGGTTCTAGCTGTCTTGTTAATTAACTGTCAGTCTAGCTGTCCTGTGACCTCAGACAAGTCACTTCATTTCTTCGGGCCTTCGAGAAACAGTCTTTAGGGGTCATCATCTGGAAGGAGGGCTTGGGACCCTATTGTTACCTCTACTGGGAGTTCAGCTGCTCTTGCAAATTTCATTTCATTCTTATTTCCAGATTTTCCTTATGATTCAGAGATTTCTTTTGATATTAAATGGCACCTTATTATGTAGTCTTATACATACAGAAGCCTTAGGATCAGAGAAAATGACCTCTTTCCCTTCCCTTTCTTCTGTTTTTATGAAATTATCTCCTGTTTATCTCATTCTTCTGCCCCACAGGTTTCTATTAAATTTTCCTTTAGATGGCGACATTTTCTGGGCCAGACGACACAAGTACATATGAACACAAAAAGTCAACAGATCCAAGTTTCCTGAGGTGAACTTCAGGATCACTGTTTCAGAGAAAGCTCCCACAGGAAGCAGTAATATAGCATAAAGCGATGTCAACTTCAAGAGAAGTACCATGGAGAGATGCTTACCTTCATGATGATGCCTCTTAGCATAGGACACGGCTTCCCCCTCGTGCTGTGCATGGAACTTCTGAATGCACCTTCTCACCAGGTCCTCCCAGCCTGGTTTCATGGCTGCCCGCATGGTGCTAGTATCCAGTGAAGTGATCTTGCCTATTAAATAACAGCAAGCATTACACCTACATACTCATCTATTATGTATGGAAGTGATTAACATTTTAAAAGATAAAAATTTATTTATTTAGACTAGGTAGCACAAGTACACGAACCAAAAGGGCAGACAGTGAAAATAAGTGTCCCTCCCTCTCTCCTTCCTGCGGCCCCTGGATGCTTCCGTCCCAGCGCCCGTCACTGTCCCCCGCTTCTTTGCAGTCTTCTAAACAGACTCCCTGCCTTACAAATATGTAGATATTCTTTGGAAAGAAAAGGTACCTTGGAGATCTTGGCGAGTAGTAAAACTTTCTGACGAGGGAAGAACTGGTCTTTCCTTCATAGGAACTCTTCTTGCCACACAAATCAAGCAGGACTGCAAATCTTCAATCAAATACATTTATGGTTACTGTATGAGGCTTTTTCAGTGATTCACACAAACTCCCAATATATTTATGACAACACAACCTTGTAAATCAATGCAGGAGGGAATGGCAAAACACTATGCACCTCTGCTGCTCACTGACTTCACTCTCTCCCCGCCTGAGTGGGAGGCCTCTGGGGGACAGGCTAGGGTGTGCTGTGTAGGACGGGCTGGGGGAGGCTGGGGGAGGCCGGGGAAATGGCTGAAGCCACAGGACACACGCTGCAGAAGTCCACCCACGGGCTGGCGGAGGAGCACGTAATCCCTTCTTATTCAATGGCTGATAGTGACAACCAGCCAAGTTCAACGTCAAGTACACAAATGATGAAAACTAAAATCCGATACTCTGCTCTGCCAAAGGTTTGCTTCTTGAGTTTTTGGTTCATTACGCTACAGGAACACTAGATATACCTTCTACCCAACCATGTAACTAGCCCTAGAATGGCAATATGCACTTTACAACAAAGACTATAAACTGAGTCTGGAGGCGAATTCGGAGAACAAGTCCTGGAAAGTGTTGTATGTGCCAGAAAGCCACATGCCTGGTTAGAATCTCAGCCCTGGCTAGTTTCTCACAGAGCCAATGCTGAGCCTTTACTCCTTACCCACTTCAATTGGTTTATTCACCCTTGTTCACCTCTAGAGAACAGGGAAATGTTTTATTTATCTTTGTAACATGCAGAGCACATTGGGTAGCTCTTTCAATTTCAAAAATGCTGGAAAAAAGGTTAAAAAAATAGTCTTCATATCTTATGTTTGATTGACTTATGATTGTTCATCTTTAAGTCTGGGAAAGAATTTCTTTAAATATATCCAGTAATAGTGGGTATCTCAAATACAAATGTAATCCTCATTCTCAACATAATAAAAAGCTAAATTTTTGAGCACTTACTATGAGGTAGACATCTTTTTAGCTGCTATAGAGGCTACCAATTCACTTTGTCCTTGTGACAGCTCTACGAGGCAGGCTCTGGTGTTCTCCCCATTTAACACAGGAGGAAACCACAGCGCAGTTTCAGTAAGTTGCCCAACAACGTACAAAGCTGGTGAAGCCAGGATTCAAACCTGAGCACACTATGGCTCAGAAACCCCGCTCTCATGCCATACTATGTTAACATCTTAAAACCAGAGTTTAAATGTACAAAAATGTTTAAATATACAGCACAAAACCACAAATTAGATCAGCTATATCTTTTTTATACCACACTTTAGAACGGTATCCTAGATGGGTAACTGGCAGCACTTAGTCTATTGCATAAAAAGAAAAAAAAAAATCCCTCAACATTGCATACTTACATAAAAACTTAATTTTGCAAATTATGTCGTCTATGAGAGTTCTATTACTTTTCAATAAAATTTAAATTACAAATTACTTCCATTTTTTTTTCAAAAAAAAAAAACCTACAGATCTTCCTCAACTTACAATGGGGTTATGTTCTGATAAACCTATTTTTTTTTTTTAAAGATTTATTTGAGAGAGAGAGAGAGAAGCAGGGAGACAGGCAGAGGGAGGAGACAAGCAGACCCCTCACTGAGTGTGGAGCCCAACCTGGGGCTCGATCCCAGGACCCTGAGATCATGACCTAAGCCGAAATCAAGAGTCAGACGCTCAACCAGTTGAGCCACCCAGGCGCCCCCCTTGATAAACCTATTTTAAGATGAAAATATTGAAAGGTGGAAATGCATTTAATACACCTAACCTACCAAACATCATGAGTTAGCCAAGCCTACCTTAAATGTGCTCAAACACACTAGTCTACAGTTGGGCAACATCATCTCACACATAGCCTGTGTTTTAATAAAGTGCTGACCATCTCATGTAATTTACTAGATACTATCCTGAGAGTGAACAACAGAACGGATGTAAGTGTACCGATTGTTCACCCTTGTGAACGCCCGGCTCACTGGGAGCTGTGGGTTGCTGTCGCTGCCCAGCATCCTGAAAGAGGGTTGTAGGCATATCGCTAGCCGTGGCAAAGATGCAAATTAAAAAATTTGAAGTACGGTTTCTACTGACTGTGTACGGCTTTCGACAATCCTAACGTCAAAAAAAAGTAAGTCAAACCATCGTAAGTTGGGGATACTTTGGATTATTTAATGCCGATCATGGTTCAGGCGTATTCGTTTAATCCTGACTACATTCTGATACTGGGATTGTTGACTTCACTTGATAAGAGAAGAGAGTGGGGGCACCTGGGTGGCTCAGTTGTTAAGTGTCTGCTTTCGGCTCAGGTCGTGATCCCAGGGTCCTGGGATTGAGCCCCGCATCGGGCTCCCTGCTTGGCGGGAAGCCTGCTTCTCCCTCCCCCACTCCCCCTGCTTGTAGTCCCTCTCTCATTGTCCCTCTCTCTCTAATAAATAAATAAAATCTTTAAAAAAAAAAAAAAAAGAAGAGAGTAAACTGATGCCCAGTGAGGTCAAAAAACTTGCCCAAAGCCAGAGTTGGTAAGTGGCTGACTCAGGAGCTGGCATGTCTGATGATAAAGCCCATGAGGTTCCCACCCACCAGTGCTACTCTGCGCTTTCTCTTCTACCCTGTACGCAGAATGCATTCTTCAGCACTGCCTCGTAGGAGAGAGGTCACTCAGCGCACGGAAGGGCTTACTTGGGAGGGCTCGGGGTGGTGGTGGTGGTGGTGGTGGGTGGACGCTACAGCAGCGTCCTTTAAGGGGAAGGGCCTGAGATCCTCGCCATCACTCACTCCCATCTCCATCCTCTCTTCAGTAGCATTCTATTACACCATGTTATGGACCTGCATCCCTGGATAAACTATACGGAATCCATTAACCCCTGGAAAGTATATGAAAAATATTGTTTGTACTTGTGCATCTTTCTAGGTCTGTGGCTCATCGCTTGCAGTAGACATTCAGAGGAGCCTCGGATCCTGGGAAGCTTAACCACTAACAGAGCTTCTCTAGTAGGGTAGCCACTAGTGGCTGTGTAAATGTAAACTTAAAATAGAAAATTCAGCCCCCCAACTGCATTACTGAAATTTCAAGCGCTCAATAGCCACATGCAGCTAGTGGGGCCTGCATTGGACATGAACGATATAGAATACTGCCATCACTGCAGAACATTCTATTGGAGAGTGCTGTTTTAAAGACTTAAAAACTGAATTTATGGGATGCCTGGGTGGCTCAAGTAAGTTGGGTGTCTGCCTTCGGCTCAGGTCATGATCCCAGAATCCTGGGATCCAGCCCTACATCGGGCCTCCTTGCTCGGCTGAGAGTCTGCTTCTCTCTCTCCCTCTGCGGCTTCCTCTGCTTGTGCTCTCTGACAAATAAATAAATAAAATCTTAAAAAAAAAAATGGAATTTATCACAAAAATTAAGTAGGTTAAAATGAATGAAGAAACCACTTCTAAATTTTTCTTCGTGTGACCACTCATTTTAGATAATTAAGTATGAAAAAAGTAGCACAGGAATAAATACACGGATATGTAAGATATCCTACAGATTTGGCCCTACCTTCTCCTTCTTCTTTGATGGACTTTGGTTGAGAGACAGCAAAGCACTGCATAGTTTCATATTTCTGATGTGTGTCCTGGTTATCGTGACCTTCCTCTTCTGAATCAGGTAAAGGTTTTACCAGCATTCGACAATTGAAGGTATGGCTGTTCCGCCGAGGAGGTTCGCCAGACCAGGATCCCCCATTCACTGAGGGAGGCAAAAGCAACCCGATAATTATAAAGAAACTAACATCAGACTCGCTGCTGTCAAATTACTCAAAACGATGCTAATGTTTTAACAATTTGGGAAAATGCTTGGGATTTTCAAAATAACTTCTACGCCTCTTACTCTTCACCCTGACTCCTTCCCTTCAGGTTCAGGCCTTGTTTAATTATTATTAGAACACTGTTCTTCATTTTTGGGTTTTCCTTACTCTGGTTTCTTGGAAATTTAGTTCAACCTACTTGTACTTTAGGTACTTTAGATATTTTATCCCTTTGAGATATGTTACCCCCTGCTCAAAAATCTGGAACTGGCACCAACTTACAGCATGCATTAAGTTCTTTAAAAGGATTTTGACTTGATGTAGTCAGGGATATGAAGGTCATTCGAACTGATAGATCGAATCTCACTGACCAGCCCCACCTTATCCATCTAACCAGATCTCCCACACTGGCCAGCACAAGCCTCCCCCACCATCCTCCACCCCTGGTCCCACATGGACACTGGTGCTCCTGCCACCTTATCTCAAGTGTCCAGTGGCCACTATCTCTCCCACCCCGATGTACCCTGCTCTGAGGCCGAGATCCCCACTCTGTCTTCTCTCCCAGATCCTTCTTTTGTAGAATTTTACAGAAATTTTGGTGTGTATTCTGTAACTTGGCTGTTGCTGAATTACTCTATTTCAGGTACATTTCCTCAGTTCGACTGAAAAACCCCTGCAGAGGCACTGATAATGTCATTTATTTCTTATCAAGTGAAAGGTTACTTCACAGGTCTTCTCCTTTAGTGTCAATACTTAGAAATGTATGTATTAATTCAAGAAAGAGAGAATGACACAGAGGAAAGACACTTCTTTGGGGAAATTCGAGAAATCAAGGGAAATAAAAGAATGACTGATTTGGAGACTGTAAGGTTGTTCTCATGGATCACCAGATCCACCTTCTCATTCCACAGATGAAAAAACCTATCAGAAAGATCTTCAGCTACTAGAAGAGCTGGAATCAGTACCAATCCTAATCATCATTTTGGTATTCTTTTCTTTACTGTTCTTTATGTTTTATCTAAAAAATATTATGACCAGTAGGACAATGAAAGAGAGGATCGAAAAAAAGGGCCAGTGATAAGATAAGCAAACATACTCTCAAAGCTCACTAGTGGGAAAATACTTAAAAGGACATCTAAGTGTTCTGGTGAATGCAATGCTAAGTGCATAGCCACTGGGCTGCAAAGGAATAAAAAAGAAAACACACCCTGGAAAGAACAAAGGAAATACCAAGTTAACTGCAAGAAACGGTTTTAGAATTACAGAAGGAACCATAGCTAGCTTTATATGTCTGTGCAGACATTTGGGAGGTTTCTTCCACCATCAGTATTCTTAAAAGCTTATTTACATAATGGATACTACACAGAGAAATGAAAGAAGAAAGAAAAAAGAGTTCTTATTAACTCAGGTTAATAAGTAATTTTAAAACATAAAAAAAGTACAGTATAAAGTCAAGAAAAGAGCTCTTTAGACAAGTGAATTAATAATAGTGAATTAATAAGTATAGGTCCTTTGAGGAAGTCATCAAATTACTGAAGAGATCTGAAATATTAGTTACTTGAAATAAGAAATCCCATTTTCTTGTTCATTTACTAGAGAATATAATAAAAGAATCTCACATGAATATGCATATGTTTTATGTTACTGTTGCAGTCACTTTGAACAAAGGGTTATCATGCCAAGGAAAAGCTAGCCATCTGGAATTTAAAAAGGGCCTTCTATTTACTGTGGTAACAGTAAGACCGGCTAATATAAACCGTTTGAAAAAAAAAAAAAAAAGAACAGAAATACTTGCTAACTCAGGACTTGACCTTATTCTGTACTAAAATATGCACTTCCTTTTATCTGTGAAGATGTTCTTAGCATCATCAGTCTAAGTGAGAATATTAAAAAAAGAACCCCTTAGGAAGTGGGAACGTTCATACTCTGGAGCAGCAGGTAAGGTGGGCCCACGCTGTGAGCCACCCACTTTAAAATGCGGCCCTCGATACTCCCGGACACTTTTGGACAGCATCTTCAGAATGAGAGGAAGTCAGCAACATGGGCGGGACAGTAAGAGTGGGTACGGGGGAAGAGCCACCGAAGCATCTGGGAAACCAAAGAGCCCATTCAGGGCTGCCGGGCTGGTAGCATCCGACCCTCTATATGCCCCTCGTTCCTTAATGTCAGATCTTCAGCAGGCTGAGGGCACCCACATACATACTCTCTTCGCGAGTAGCACGCAAAATTTTGTTTTTCTGAAGTCAAACCTCAAACTTCTCACGACCTTCTACTTCTTAGAGCCATGGCCGAAAAGCACAAATTGGAGGCAGCTGGCACTGGAAGGGAGGCAGTGTGGCAACCTCTTAAAAAACACCGAAACAAACCCCACGAAAACAGTGGCCATAGGAGTCCTTTCCATCTGAATAATTTTCATGTACTTTAAATACAGGATCAAAACAATCATTCATTTAAGATCCCTATCTGCAGATGTCCTCTTCTCCATGACTTTCAAGCTTAAATATTTAATGTAAGCCTCTCTAAAAAACTACCCAGTTACTCTTATCCCCAGTTGCCGTAACACCCAGTTCTATGTGACCCCTCCAACCAAGACAATGTGTGCATGGGGGAGGAGGGAGACCCCAGCAGATAATCATTTACCTATAGACTTTGGCAGCAGGTTTTTGACAAATTCAGTGTGGTCCCCAACATGCAGGATGCTATATACACTTTTGTTCATCAGCTCTTCTTGGTTATACCTTAGGTACTGTGTCACATTCTCTGAAACAAATACAACGTTGCCTTCCAGGTTCACTACAAAGAAGAACCCATCAAGGGCCTAAGGGAAAAGGCACAAATTGTGTTAGAAAGGACACAACAGAAAATCATATGCAGTTGTTAAGAAGGGATGATCCCTTTAAGGGAAAGGTGTAATTCACACGTGGAGAGAAAAGAGATTTCTGTCTCTCTCAACCCCTCTCCTAGTTTTGGGGAAAAACTAGCACATTTTCTCGTGATGAAATGACTCCATCTTAGTAAGTGGGAGAGAGCCTAGATCAGGGTTTCTTGTCGCAAACTAAATGACAAATACTAACTGTTATTTTATCAGGAGATAATTACTGCCACATAAGTGCAGGTATTTATCTGTATTTTCCAAATTATATTGATGGACTCTACCTGGCCAAGAACAACGTTTATGTTACCAACCCAGTACAAAGTAATTATGTCCTATAGTTTCTCATGTAATACAATGGGAGGAAAGGGTCATCGATAATTTTCCTTCAGTTTAAGGATTAAAAAACCCCCCAAACTTTGCCACCTTTAAAGCTGCCAGGGTTTAAATGAAAAGAACTGCAGATGTTCTCAAACGTCAATCCTTTATTGTTTGGGAAAAGGGTCTGGGAAGGAAGTGTCTCTCTGATAATGGCAATGGGGACTGCATGCTGAGACATGACCAGTAGAGTCTGAAGACTGGAAGGGGACTTGAGGTTTTAGTTTTTGACAGTGAGAACTGGAAAGTTAACTAATTGTGCCCTTCTCTATTACTTGTTCTCCAGGTCATGGAGCAGCAGGTCCTTAACCACCTAGATAACATTAGCATTTTCCTGCAATGTGGCTTGGCCTCACTCCTCCTTGTTGTCATTCCAGTCTAGATCAGGGAAGGACAGAAAGACTCCAGGATCATTTCAGGAAATAAAGATAATGAGAATAACTACCGAGCATGTTTACTGTGCCTAAACACATTGTGTCATCTGAATGTTTACAACTCTGGAAGGAATGTTTTACCTTCTCCAATTAACAGAGGAGGAAGAAATTGAGGCTCTAAGAGGTGAAGTGATTTGCAAAAGCTTTTGCAACTCAGTCCGCGGCAGAGCTGGAATTTGAACCCAGGTGCACTCAAAAGCTCATGCTTGCGATTACTCTGCAGCAGAGTGTTCTACTTCAGTATTTACCCCAGTCTTTTCCTATCATGTTCACCTCGGTGATATAAAAGTTGAGAGTTCAGGGAGTTTCTCTTAGTGACTCCTCCTTTCCCTTTTTGATCTGTGCTTGTCAGAGTCCTGTTTTATAGATGAGGTTGAGTGATCAAGACTAGAAGAAGCCTGATATTGATCAGGCATACCTCGAAACAGGGCCACCTGGTCTACCCAGTTTGTGTCACAGTTTCCCCATGCTATGTATTTACTACTATTTTTAACATGAATGTTCCATGTACATATTGGTATAACAATGTGTATGGATGGGGCATAAAGTGTTTACTTTTATCCTAGTTTGCTTTTTCCTTAAGTTATTATTTAACAGGCTATTTTGTGAGCTTTCTTTGAATATATTCCATCTTTAATTCTATTTTCATCACAAAACTAAGTGCTCTCTCAAATTAGAAATGACCATAAGGCACCAGTGAAAAGCTCTTTAAAAAAAAAAAAAAAACACCATTCAATTTTAAGTTTTTCTTAAATATTCTGTCAGGTTTTACCAATGGTATAAACAATATGCAGGGCAAAGCAAGACTGTATGTAAATGGCCTTCCATAACAGGTTGGCATCAACCCTTGAAAACCTCGTGTAAGTAAGTGCATGCGGGTGTAGGTCTGTGAAGGGGGAAAGGAAGTCAGTCAGTTGATTAGTTACATGCCACGTGTCCTTTTAAACTAACTGCTTCAGATACACATTCACAGGGATTTTCATAATTATATTACCTGTAGCTCCCTTTTGAACATGCAAAGAGCTTCCCACTGCTTTCTACCATGATAAAAAGACTGATTTGTAGCACAGTATGACTGAAAGATGAAAGTGTTTCATCTTATGAGACCGTGTTTTTTAAAGCACACTATGATATGCTCTGATGAAAAAAGCTGACATTTGGTTTTGTTGCCTAGCAACCACTATGCTATGATGTAAGCATGAGTGTGCATCTATGCCTAGGAACAGCTCAACGAGAACAAGTTTTCCCTGTTTAGACTGTTCCATGTAAACAGGGATAAAGACTTCAAACCTTAAGTCACTAGATTCGAGCATTAGCTCTCTAACATACGTGGCACTGAAGCCCTGCCACACAAGTACTTGCTCAAGTCTGAATACACTGGATTCTCAGAAGGCTATTTTTCAACAGTAAAAATGTTGGCCTGATTTTATGAGAGAAGGCCCACTGATACCCAGCAGTCTGATTTCCATAATCAATGAACTTGCTCTAAAGAGGGCCTGAATTCATGGTCTTGTGGTTACTCCCAACATTTCCTTTTAGAAGCCTCAAAAATCTTTTCAGGAGTTCCCACCCTACTGTAATCTTCCCCCATATAGGGAATCAATGCAGATACCTGGGAATTTCCTAGTAATCTAATAATTTAGATTACCATAATTTTCAAATCAGTTTTGTTTAAAATTAAAAGTTTTTTCACAGAAACCTATCTACTTTCATCTAATTCTAAATAGTCCACCTTGTTAGAGTTTTCTTATCTGCTTCTAAGAACCAAGCAGGAAGCAGCACTCTGGTTTTCCTGTTGACTCTGGAAAATCAGGTTAAGTGTGTTTTGCTTTTTCCCTGAAAATTGTACTTGGATACTGTCAAGCTAGTGACTCAAGAGAAATAAGCAAGGGACAACATGGGGTCATTTAAAGTTTTTTGGCTAGCAGGTCCAGCTCCAAGAATTTTGTCATTTCTAAATACAAAGACTGGGTCAGATGATTTTTAATTTTTCCTGTGTTCCCCCCACCACCACCTTCCAAGTGTATGATACATTTTCACAGAATGAGATTTTCTAAAAATAAAAATCATCACATGCACCAACTGAAGAAAAAGGGCAATTACTGGTGATCTTTGCTTTAAAAATCCTACTTTCTCATCTAGGTGCAGCTATTGCCACAGGTTAAATGATTCCACATGGCGATGCCGCCCAGCTTCCGGCCACGTGGTACTTTTCAATCTCATCGTATCATCGGCTGAGTAAATTATCCTGAGATCTGACATAATTTATGTCTCAGGGCTCCTCTGCTTCTTGTTATATATTCACCGGCATTTTTTCCCTCATCTTCCCATAGCCTACATCTTGAATTTTAATTTTGGAATAGGTACAGCAAAGCACTTGTTAATCAAACAGGAAAGCTAGACTTTACAAATTCTAGACGGCAGTCTGGTCATAAACCTTCTGAAAGTTAATAAAGAACAGGGAGTTAAGACCAACCACTACATTTGTGATGCTCATCCTAACAGCTCTGCCTATTATTTCAGTTTTCATCTTTATGAAATAAACTAGTTTGAAGCAGCATAAATAAAAAGCACAAACCTGCATTTGGTCTTCAAATGGTAACCTGCCTATACGGACATCTGTATATGGCATATATAAAATCTAAAAATTGGGGGAACATCTCAGATGAAAATTACATTGCAGAATTTAATAGGACTTGTGAACATGGTTTTCCAAAATGAATGCTCACTCTGTCAATTTATATTGTAATCTAGTTCACGTAATTCTCTCTTATTACTGGGAAATGTACGTAGGCTGAAATCGGGAGCTAGATGAATACATACTAGTAAGCTCCAGAGGTCAGCGGTACTTCCAGCCCGACGAGTGAAAATTAAGTGTAGACTGTCCTGAAATTATATTCACCTGAAAATTAAACGTAATAATATGAAGACCGACAAGAGGGTAGGGCAGAGAACCAGAACGAGGGTAGGCTACCTCAAGCATCATAGGCCCCAGCGCATCCTTGTCGATGACGCCCTGCCCGGTCGACGACACGTCTGACTTCTGCACTTCATCTACGTTGGCAGCTGCTGCTTTCTCTGCAACAAACGGAAGTGTGAATTAAATGGCAGTGCTTTTTCAAGGGCAGAATGACACAGAAACATTGTCATTGTAATGATCTTTAAAATCTCTAGTGGAACCAGCCGGGGCGCTGAAGGAGCTGGAGTCCATCCCCACCGCCGCTGAACGGGAGATGCTGCTGGAAGCAGGAACAGAACAGTACCTTTTCACCTCCAGAACCTGTGCTCAGAGCCCCTCTCAGGCAGGTGATGGAATGAGTTTAGTGGTTTCGTGCTAGTCCCCAACAAGCATTTTTTTTTCTAGACTACAAAACTGCTAAACGCTATGGCACAATTAGTCTCTACTCCGGGGACTCCGCAAACCAGGATAAAGAAAGGTCTGTTGTTCAGAATTCAGTAGCATAATCAGAGATACATTTCCACGTACTTGCAGAAGGACTAAGAAGAAGTCCCAACCCGCTACGGCTAGGCTGCCCCTGCGTGACACGCTCTATCAACTGCCTTTTGGACTCTTGCACTGCTCTACCTCTCGTCACACTCACATATAAGCAGCCAGAAAGATGGGGTCTCTATATTGTAGAAAGTGCTTACCGATTTACGGCAGAGAGAAGAAGCACCCTCTCAGGCACCGAGAGGAGCTCAGTGGCTGCCCTTTGATCTAAAACAGAGATGCACAATACATGCCCCTGCATTACAACGTGTGAGGCAGCGTTCAAGCCGAGAGGGCCTGGGACAATGCTCCCTCATGGATAATTCTCAGAGAACAAACAGATGCACAGTTATCGATATATATATATATGCAAACTCATTATTTTAAGAACACCAAAAAAAAAGTTAAAGGCGTAACAGATACATATCATCAACTTGCGAGAAAACAACACAAAAACAATGTGCCAATTATTTATACCTGAATAAATTATATCCTTGTTTACACTGCATGTTAGTATTGTAATTAAATGCAAATAAAGAAAACTGTAAATCAATTTCATACTCAGGATCAACCTGCTTTCATGACCTTGGTAAATTTTGGTGCTGCTGCTTCTTTTTTGTTGTTTTTTTGGTAAAAAAGATTTACAGAGTATTCTGAAAATCTGGAAAACTTAATTTGTACCTGAGAACCTAGAACATAATTAGGAATTATGCAGGTCCTCCAAATCTTGCCACTGCCAGGATGGAGCACTTCCACATTATATTCAGTGCAAAAGGGAAGATGACCTGTGTGAGTTCAAGTCTAAGTTCAGCCACTTAGAAGTATGAGCCAGAGAAGTCATTCCAACTTTTTTTTTTTTTTTTAAAGAATTTATTTATTTATTTGACAGAGAGAGACACAGCGAGAGAGGGATCACAAGCAGGGGGAGTGGGAGAGGGAGAAGCAGGCTTCCTGTGGAGCAAGGAGCCCGATGCGGGACTCGATCCCAGGACTCTGGGATCATGACCCGAACCGAAGCAGACGCTTAACGACTGAGCCACCCAGGCGCCCTCATTCCAACTTTTTAAGGCCTTATAGTACCTGCCTTTTTAAGGCCCTATAGTACTCCTGTGACAGGAGTAAACTGGATGATCGGTAAAACACACTCTAAAAACTATAAAGTAGTTTACAAATGTAACTTACTACTAGCACATCTATGTGTGTTAGTTCTTCCTCATGTAGTAGAGTTCCAAATGTAGTAACTTCTTTGCAGAGCTTATCATAAGCAGACTGTATCTGCTTTTTCAATTACTATATTCCTGGCTCACCTCCTTAGATCTAAATAATTGTGACCATCTATTAAAAGAGATAAGACTTGGGACTTAGACTGGGTGGTTCAGTCAGTTGGGCGTCTTTGACTCTTGACTTCGACTCAGGGTCGTGAGACGGAGGCCCACACTGGGCTGCTCGCTCAGCTCATGGTCTGCTTGAGATTTTCTCTCTCCCTTTGCCCCTCCCCACCCCTAAAATAAATAAATAAATCTTTAAAAGAGAAAGGGAGAGAGAGAGAGATGACTTATCTGGTAGCCTTTACAACACAGTAAATATTGGAAGGATCTGTCAGTCTTCATTTTGTTTTTTTCTTGCTGCCTTCCCTTACCCCTTGGCTCTGTCTGCAGGCTTGGTCTCAGCCTAGTTCCTCAGCCTCAATGGGGTAGGAACTATCTCAGGCTTTCCACACGATTACTGCATGTGACCTCCCTCCCTCTCCACGTCCATTCCCATTTTCCTAGAATCTTTTTCATTGCCAAATATACACCAAGTAAATGCATACTGGGGCATATAGTTTTGTTTTGTTTTTGTTTTTTTTCCTTTGCTGGTTCACTCTGTAAGGCTACAGGTTTCTCTTCAGTTTCCACTCCCTTTCCTACTCACCAGGGTTAGGACTGACCCCATCACCTGCTGTTTCATCTGATTTAACAGCCAGGTACTGTGGAGGTCCCAGCAGGCTTCAGGCCTAAGGATCCTGAGTTTCATTACTACTAAATCGTAAAAGGCGTCAAACAGACATCACATGTTTCTGTGGTCTCACGGCATTCCGATTCGTTCTTTGCCTTCGGTGTTGTGACAGTGTGAGAGCAATGTGCTGGCAGCCCGCAGAAAGCGTAAATCGCAGCCTTTGCTCTGCCCCCTCACTATTCGTTGCTCCCACCAGCAACCTCTTCCAACAGTACCAGTGATCCTCAAATCAGAATGGCGTACAAGAGAAGACAACCTCCCCAGAGAGGACCTATCAGAATCTGAAGACTAAAAAGGCTTTCTTTGTATGACATTCTGATACATCTTCCTAGGAAGGTATGCTGTCCTCCCCACTTCCTGCAGTGAGAATCACAGTCCAGGAAATAGTACTCGATCTGCCATCAAAAGGTAAGTTTCATGAAGGGCGCACTGTGTCTGTATCCTCAGTGGGCACGGTCCCTATGTCAGAGCAGGTTTTCACTAAGTATTTGGTGGCTAACAGACCAGATCCACCTCGGGCACCTATTCCCAGATATGGAGGAGGCAACTGGAGGTGGGAGTGGGTGGAAAAAGGAATAAAGTCCCGGCTTTAGTCCTAACAGACCTCCACGGTGCAGGGGGAGGAATGGGACAGGTAGGCAGGGTCAGAAATACGGGGAAAGGATTTCCTGAAGAAATAAAACAAATCATCTTTCCTTGCCTTGCTCAGTAAGTTTGAGGGCATCTAATGTTCTCTCAGGTCCCCAGTTCTCTTACCCTTCCACTGCCGCAACTGGTGGTTTTGTTCGTTTTAAAGAATGGATTGATTAATTCAGATTTATGTTGGGGGGAAGTGAGACATGAAGCACAAGCTACTGATCGCAAGGGCAATTCCATACCTACTGCTGACCACTAGAGAACAGCAGGCTATTTGACATATGAGACTCTGCTATCACATCGGTAAGAGATTCTTGTTTTCTGTGGGGCCTATGATAATGCCACAAAATAACAGTGTCTGTGATAATCCGTTTCCAAGCCTAGTAAAGACAATCAATATACCTTGTGAGATGTTTGCGTTTTGAGGATCTGACCATCATTCTCAAGACCCAAACTTTCCTAAATTCATCCTTTAATATTCTGTGGAATTTAAAAAACAATGTAAGAAAACCCAATCATGCAGGTTCCTAAACAATGATAAGCTTTCAGGCTGGGGTGTCCTAACTATTCTAGCAACATGCTCAGACACTGAATTTTGAACTCTTACCAGAAAATATGTAGAATGAGGATCATAACTGCATTGCATTTTATTCTAGAAATCTACAGATCAGATGAAATTTAGGATAAGGGCCTAAAATTTAAAGGAGGAGATAATTTAGATCTAACAAAACGTGTTTGGGTAAAAATAATTATCATCTTGAAAAATGATTTGTGATGGTAAGCCATGTCATTTTTTTTTCTCTTTATCACATTCAATTGATCAATCTTTCAGAGGAGAAAAGCAGCTAACAGGAAGTCACAGGCAGTGAGTGGCCACCGTGAGGAAATCACCCAGTAACAATGGGATCTGTTCAGCAAGCAGTCTCTCCATCTCTGTGTCTTGTGTCTCGCTGTGCATGTGGTGCAAGTGGAGTGAATAATCCTTGTCAGCTGAGAGATTAAATCTAGCTGGGAGGGCAAAACAATTACAATCGAACTAAATGAGAGCAATTTAGCGATAATTGCAAGGAACTAACTTTAAGTTCAAAGAAGAGATAAAAATCATTGGACGTAGCTGAAAATATTTCACGTACATTGTAAATGAGTTGGACTCGGCAGGATAAGCAAGTGGATGGCAAAAGCAAGAGCCTAAGAAGGAAACCAGTGGGAATGGACATGTGGCATCTGGCCCCGAGAAAATGTCAGCGTGGCCTCTGAAAACCAATGCTAAGCTAAGGAACATTGGCAAAAAGTTTGTCTAAGCTGGAATTCTAGGAATCTCTGACTAAAAATGAAAACAACACAAATTTCACAAGATCTATTAGTGGAACATGTGCTTTGAAAGAAAACTCTAAATGAGTCTATCGATTATTTGCAAGAGAATGTTGTAATATTTACACAACACTATTCATGTAATTAAGGGAATGGGAAATGTTCACTATTCATAGAGTAAATATGAAAGAGAGACAAAGGGTAAAGAATCTGGGGCTTTTCACGCCTGTCCTCACTAATGTTTGTATTACATGCATTTCCAATTAATTTGTCATCTGCTATTCAATTCTGTATTGAATTTGTGCTTTCATCATTTCTCAATATTAAAGAGAATAAAATCAATAATATGAAATGATAGAAAACACTCAGAAGTATGGCTTTACCAGTGTAATTGAAATCTACATTAAACTGGCCATGAATTTATGTTTTTGGGTCCTTTTCATGAGGTAATTACTACTTCTGTTCAACGTTCAGCTGAGCTTTGAAATTAAATAGGAGGAAGGAAAGGACTCTAGTGAGAGATACATTATTACGATAACCGGACATATACTGGTATCTTGATGGAGCCTTTCAGTAATTAGTATGCTATTTTTAAGGACCAGATATAAATAAGCTTAAATCCTTATATATATTTATACCTCTG